AATGCAGGGATGGGGGGTCTCCTGGGCTCCTAAGCTGCTGAGCACATGCTTACCGAGAGTCAAACATTTGTCCCCAACCTTTTTATGATGGTAGTGCTTGTTATCATCACAGAACATTAGAGATACCATTGAGATGATGTGTTGAAATAAGTGTGTTGTTTCTATGAAAACTAAATAGTATCTCTCAAAAGACCTCGTATGGAGAATGTGGGAAAAACAGTCTCCAAATTAACTGAAGATTGATGTCATAAGTTATAAGCATTCTAATGGGTATTGCACTCAAACTGCTCACCAAGGGTTCTTAGTTCTCTAACCACTTCTTTAACCACAATGAGCACTTGCTATGATGAGCTTGATGCCAGTTCAGTGCAAATGTCCCATTGGCTACCTCTTGGCATAGGAGAAGTCCTGGCTCTGTGCTGAAAAAGTGGAAACGTTAAAAGCCATCCAGCAATGGGCAATTTGAATTTTGGAAAAATGATCACAGATTTGTATTCAGGGGAAGCAGCAACATCTGGATCTTCAAAAGTTATTTACCTTGAAATGTGAAAGGCATGTATGTATGTATCATCTGAAAGAACCTTACTTTCATGGTTTTCTTGATTAACCAACTAACTACTGCTTCTAATCTTATTAGGTAGAAAGTCTTTGATTATCCTCCAGAGATGAGTGGTGTAGATGAGTTCTGAGTTTGTTTGTAACTAGCCTGAAATATGTGTGGACACACATATGCACATGCACACACATCTCTCAAACATTATGTGCACCTCACACATCACTTGCCTTGGAATGACCTGTGTAAAGTCTCCTCTGGTTTGGACTAGGAGACCCTTGAGGGAAGCCCCTGTTTTCTTTGACACTGCTGTATCACCCACAGATCTAACAGTGCCTTGCTCACTTTGGATGTGCATAATATTTGTCAAATGGAATTCAATGAGTCCCTTCAGGGATGCCGGGCATTACTGAGGTTTTATTTTTATTTTTTAACAAACACATGTTCAGAAAAAATAGCCTTTCCAGACTGTAGAATTAGTCAGCCTTGAACCAACCTTGCACACTCTCCTGACCCTCTCAGACCCAGCCATTCCTGGCTGTCTAGCCTGATTTGCCCAAATTTTAAATGATCAGAACCTTTCTCTCTGAGTCTCAGGCACCCCCTAGGTCTCATCCACAGCCCAGGGCACTCTAAAACTAATGAATTCCTATAGATAGTTGTTTCCAGATATGATCCAGCTTCATAAGTTTATGGGCTTTCATGATGTCCCAATGGACAGCTGTTATTTTGTCCTTCTGGCTTTGTCTCTGGCCTAGATACCCACCTGGATACCATCTGCTTCAAGCAGGATGTTTTAGTCAGCTTTTTTTTTTTTTTTTTTTTTTGCCGCTGTGTCTAAAGGATCTGACCAGAACAATTTTAGAGGAGGAAACGTTTATTTGAGGGCTCATGGTTTCAGAGGTCTTAATCCATAGAAGGCCGACTTCATTCCTTGGGGCTCAAGATGAGGCAGAACATCATGGCAGAAGAGTATGGCAGAGGGAAGCAGCTCACATGGTGGTCAGGAAGCAGAGAGTGCGACTCCACTTGCCAGATACAAATATATACCCCAAAACCACACCCCAATTTTGCTTCAGGTACCAGTTAATACTTATCAGGGGATTCATTCGATGATTAGTTTAAGGCTCTCACAGCTCAATCATTTCCCCTCTGAACTCTGTCACGTTGTCTCACACATGAGCTTTTGGGGGATATCTCACATCTCACATCTTCATTCTCACAGAGCCCCAACTATCTTAGCTTCAATAAACTAAAATGGCAGAACTGAAAATTCTGTGAAACTCTTCTGACCAATCTCAATGCTTTAAGGATGAAAGCAGAAATCAAGAGGGGCAAGCAACATAACCACAGTCCCATGTGGAGCCGACCAGGATACTGCTGCCACCAGCTGCTACTGCTCCTCCTCCAATGACTGTCCCCCACTGGGCCTCACCCCTGGTAACCACAATGTAGGCTTTGTCTCTGCCCAGTGGATGCTTTGAGAAATCTCAGGAGAAGGGAGCCTCCTCATTTCCTCACTTGCTGAGGGAGAGACAGTGGTGATAGTCAGGGTCTGTCACAGGCATGGGTATGAGTGTAGGGGTGGGGAGACATAGCCACAGCAGAGCCTGGATCTTCACACTTGCTCACACTACTTTTCCTCTCTCACTGTAACCCCCCATTCCTCCTTCACCTTGCTCTCCCCACCATTTCCCCCTCTTCTTTCCTGGGCGCGCCTGGCTAGACCAGGCTTCTCTTACCACCTTCCTGTTTATTCTTCTGCCCATGCCAACCAAGGGCCCAGAAGCCATTCTGAGTTCCACAGTGGATACAACGTGCAACCACAGACAACTACCATCCTTCCTCAAGCAGAAGCTATAGGCTGTGGAGGAGTAACCCACATTGGATATCCCTGCAGCCCTGTCTTGGATTCAGGCATAGGTGAACCCTCCCCCAACCCCACTCCCTACACACACTCAGGCATCATTTCCCATGATTCCACCCCCTGCTGGCCAGATGGCTTTCTCCAAGACTGAGGACTCTCTTGGTTCTACTTAATAACCGCCTGGTAATTAGCTCCACAATTTTGCCACTATGCTTATAATAGCCTCCATTAAAGTTATGGGGTTTTCAAGCCCTAATGGCTTCCAGAGTAATTAATGCACAACTGGGTTTATTGCAAGTTTATTTTTAGAGCTTTTCTCCCTCAATCCCCTCCCTTTCCTCTCATAGATATTTTGACCAAAAACTAAATGAGTTCAGATGCTGCTGTGGCTTCTTGTACCATGTCCCTATCTTTTCCCTTTTATTTTTGCTTCATTGTCCAGTCAGGTTCTGGGACCCACAACGCAAGCAGTTAGGTTGGAGGACAGTGGCTCTTGAACAGGTTTTTGTCCAGGCCAGAGAAAGCCTGTGGCCTGTATGTGTCCCCATGCCTGACCCAGTTCTGAAGGGTTCAGGCATGCTCCTGATGATAGCATATAGCCACATGGCCCTGATTTAAAGCTAACTGCACCATTTTCTAATTATTGACCAGGGGCAAATTACTTTCTCTGACTTCCATGGATCCAACTATAAAATAGGGATTATGATAAAACCTGCCTCACAGGGTGGTTGTGAGTACTTCAGGGAACAGATGTGTGTTAACTGTTGAGCTTAGTCCTTGTACATCGTGAACACTATGGGAAACCTTGTTGTCATTAACAAGAGCCCAAGCAGACCAGTGGGAGGTTGAGCAGGTGTCAGAGGTGGAAGCTGTGGGATAAAGTGACTTCCCAAAGGGTAAAGCCTATTAAAAGCAGGAAAGTACTGACATGGAAGCTAGCCCCATATCAACTGAGTGGGTGTGGTGCTCACTTTCTTTCCTCAGTTTTCTCCATCCTGGAATTAAAAGCTTCAGGAAAACCAGGATGTTTAAGAAAGCTTCTATGTGACTCTCTAAGAACATAGAATAAATCTTCTCAGATGTTTTGGTAGCCTCAGTCAGGCCATTTTCTGTTACTATAATAGAATACCTGAGACTGGGTGATACAAAAGGAAAGTAGTTTATTTAGCACATGATTCTCTGGAGGTTGGGAAGTCTAAGATTGTGGTGCTAGTGAGGGCCTCATGCTGCTTCAACTCACGATAAAGCAGAAGGCCGAGCAAGCACAAATGGAAGAGATAAAACATGATGGATAGCCTTACTTTATAACAACTTGTTCTTGCAAGGAATGAACCCACTCTTGTGAGAAAGGCAATAATCCCTCCTAATAATATCATCACCTCTTAATGGGCCCACCTCGCTATAGTGCCACAACAACAATCAAATTTCAACACGTTTCAGAGAGGACAAACCATATTAAAGCATAGCACTCCCCATCCTTCTTTAGATGTAATATAAGGTCACATCAGCCAGAATATGGCATTTATGTGGAACCCAATAGAGCCCTGCCAGTAGTCTGCACTCTGATCCAAAGGGTATGGCATAAGGTCACTCTGCTTCTCACACAAGACCCATAGCATTCTTATGTGCCACTAGGCTCTGTCACTTATAGGGTCGGCTAAGGAGTGCAGTAGAGCACAACAGCTCAGAATGATGGTTCCTCCTGCATTGGCCTCTGTTTCCTTTAACCCTAATGTTCTGTCACTTAAGGTAAGGCTGATGCTTGTATCTGCCCTTGCAGATAGATTCTGGAGGCAGTGGACCTTTGGTGGGAAGAGGTGAGCAGAGGCTGACCCAGGAAACCAGAATGGAAAGCAAAGTTTGGTATTCCAAAGGGCATCAGAAGAGAAGAGAAGACCTGAGAAGAATAAAAGCACACTACTTCCAAAACTGAGGACAACAAAATCCTGGTCATCATGTCCAAGTACAGAACCTGGCACTCATCCTGCATGGAGTAGTGCCCCAAAAGAATTTCCTATGGACAATAATAGAGGAATGCATTTGCCACATTTCCTCCCAGAACCTAACCCTAAAAGATGTCTTCCTTGTTCTTGAAGGAAGCCTCCTAACTCTATTGCAGTACCCAGGCTATGGGGAAAAAAAAATCTGGGCCCACAAATTTGGATATCACAAAAGCTAACGTTTCTTGTTCTCTTACACGGGAGACAACCCTAAGAGCTTTATGAACATCAACTCATTTAATTCTAAGAACAGCCTTGAGAAGTAGATACACAATTTTCTAGAAGAGAAATACTAAAGTACAGTGCAGGGTTGATGTAACTGTGCGAAGATCACAGCTTGTGGATGAAACACTTGGGACTTAAACTAAGGCAGGTATCTCTGAAGCTGTGGCTGTAATGCCTATACCCTATTGACTCTTATTAATGGACTCTCACCAGAGATGAGGTCTTCAGAGAGAAGATCAAGGAAGACTTCATTGAGAAACTTGATTCTATATGTCCCAGAGTGGGGCCTGACTCTTGCTGGGGGTCCACACCCATGCTTCGGTCTCTGGCCATCCTCTTCTGCTCTCTCTTACAGGTGTCCATCTCTGAGGGTTCCTGACCTTGCCCCTGGACAACTGCCCCTTCTCAGACTCCTGTCAGGCTGGACTCTGCAAACCTGCTTCCGCAATGGGTGGGTTGTGAATGCTGGTAAGACCTACTAGCCAGCGTTCAGCTTCTCTGTTCTCTCCATGCCTGGCCGGCCGGCCCATGCCTTTTCTTTTTTCCCCTGTGCTGCCGCTGCCCTGTGGCCACCCCTCTCCTGACCTTACCGCCACTCAGGTAATGAGGAGCTGTGGGCGCAGCCAGCCTTGGAGATGCCGAAGAGACGGGACATCCTTGCGATCGTCCTCATCGTGCTGCCCTGGACTCTTCTCATCACTGTCTGGCACCAGAGCACTCTTGCACCTCTACTTGCTGTGCACAAGGGTGAGCCCTGCCTACCCTCCCTGCTTAGTCCCCAGCCCAGTTTCCTTAGTGAGAGCTCCTTGAAAGAGCTTGTTACTCTCAGTTCCCAAGAGGAGGGGCCATATCATGCTACACAGGGACACTGGGATTGTTCAGGAAGTAAAAGGGTGAGAGGCAAGCCTGTAGATATGCCTCTATTGTGATTTTGCAGGAAAGAAAGAGCTGAGCAAAACCTCTGAGCAGGCCTGGGATTTTGACAGTTTGAATAATTTCAGTGTGTTCCAAGATATGACAGGTAGCTTTGAATTGTCTGGTACTGGTACTTGGTGATTTAGGATAGGGTAAGATTGGCTTGCAGTTTTTGATAAAGGAGGTGGGTGGGGGTGTGCCTCTGAGTTGGTTTGTTGGCATATGAAAAGTGGTTTGCAGACAATTGTTTATTATTTCTAGCTAGTCCTGGGAGAGGCAGCCCCTTCTCAGGTCTGTAAGGCCCCAAGAAGCCAAAGCAACAACCAGGTGCCATAGCACACACCTGTAATCCCAGCTACTTGGGAGACTGAGGTAGGAGGATTGCAAGTTCAAGGCTGGTCTTCACAATTTAATGAGAGCCTGTCTCAAAATATAAAATAAAAAGGGCTGGGGATGTAGCTCAGAAGAGCGCCTCTGGGTTCAATCCATAGTACAACAAATAAAAACCCTACACACACAAAAAAATCAAATACAGAAAATTTTAAAACAAACATGATTAATACTCACATGCAGAGACAACTACATATACAGTTTTACCTCCTGGTCCCATGTGCAAAGAACAGGATCACTTAGCGGGGAGTGAGGAGGAAAGGATAGGATTTCTGGCCTATTTATTTTTTTTTTGTGTGTGTGTGTGTGTGTGGTTATTGTTTTATTTTGGGTTGCTGAAGATCAAATCCAGCATCTTGTGTATACTAGGCAAGCACTCTACCACTGGACCACCAACCTTACCCTGTATTGTGTTATAGCACCTTTAAGAAGAGTATATAGCTTGTCCCCTTTTCTTGCTTAGAAAACCCTAGTATCTAGTGGCAGTAGGCCTGGAAAGAGGAAGAGTCCTATCAGAAGCTAGTGTAAGAATTGGGATTTGAACTGCCTTCTCCCAGCTGAGTCCCAGGGTTGCCTTTCCCTCTCACACCTAAACACTTTATACCCCAAAGGCTTCTATGTGCTCCACATCTGCTCTCATTGCTTAGCCTTCAGTCTCATGTTTTCTTGTCCCCTCCCACTCCAGCCCTCAATACACACACACATATGCAACACTTGGGGGAAGCAGCAATTCTACCAAAGCAAAGTGTCTTCTTTCCCCACCCATGGTGCTAAGAAGGGACTCCAGGGCTTCCCACGTGTTCACATGCTAGGCAGGCACTCTACTAGTATTGAACGACCCCTCTCCCCCCAACCCAATGTGAATTATCTTACTTGTGATCATGATAAAACAGGAAGGCACCCAAGCCTATCCCAGGGATGAAGACAGTGGTACGGAAGTAGGATCTGGGTTTCCACTGTAGCCTGTACCTTCAAGTGACTCAGATGCAGGCCATATCCACAAATCACAGCCTACATTGTGCTGCTTCACACAGATAAACATCTTGCAAACCTCTAGAGTTTCCTGAAGCTTTCAGGAGAAAGAGCTAAGCTTAAGATTGCTGTAGCCTCACTGCCTGTGCTGGACTCTTTGGGCTTCTCTGATGTCATCTTCTGCTGACCCCAATGCCTCTGGTGCTTGTCAGTTTAGAACTGTTGTTATCCTGCCAATACATCATCCCAGAGGGGTTCAAACTACCATCTAGAAAAATGATTATAGTATGTTCATTGCTGGCAGAGCTAGGGTTGGAGACATTAGGCTGTTTTACTTCCCAAGGATGGTAACTTGACATTGTCTTCTCTGAACATTCCAAGAGGGATTGAGTGAAATCTGCAGTTAAATGACATTAGGGTCATAAGGAGGCCTTTATGTCTCAGAAGTGCAGAAGCCCTAAAGCCAGTGAGAAGGGCAGAGTACAGGTACAGAATCCCAATTCATAGAGAACTTTCCCAGGGCAAATGTTTGGAATAATCTGGACAGCAGAACACTTGGCAAAATGGTCCTAAATCTCCTTTCCAAACCATGATTTCTAAGACTTTATTGACCATAGGATGAATTAAACCTAATATCTTTGTCAGAATCCTGAACACCCATCCCTCTTAGTTCAACCTAGTTTTCTTTTCACAGTTCTACCCAAAACTTCTCCAAAAAAACACTTTTGAAGACCTGTACTTGTGCTAGTCTCCCCCTGCCACAATATCTTCTCTGTAGCATGGGTAATGGACTCACAGCTCCTCTTATGTGTCTTGTGCCATTGGCCTGTGAGCACTAAGAGCTGGAGCAGGTCCTCTTCTAGGTTCATCCGTATTGGATTCCACACAAGCACCCACACAGCTTGCATGCTGCTAACGATGGTGGAAGTTGAACAGAGGGAGGGAACAAAATGGTTGATGCCTAGCATCCTCTCTTTGACCTCGCTCCAGCCCTTTCATTTCATCTTTACTGAAACTGTATGGAGCCATGAGGAAGTAGGACAGCTAATGTCCTTCTACACACCAGGAAATGACAGCAAATATGCCTTGCAGTGCTCTGAGTCCTTCAAGTGTCTCGACTCATTAATCTACATAATAACTCAATAAAATAGATGCTATTATTAGTTCCATTTTACAGTCACTGAAATCAAGGCACCAAAAGCTAAGTAACTTGTTCAAGGACATATAGTTAATAAAGACAGAAAGACAGGGTCTGAACCCAGGCATTCAGGTTTCTAGGTCTGTCCTCTGACCATGATCCCTCCACTGAGAGTATGTGAGCCACACTATCATTGCTACATGAGTTTTTCAAACAGAATGACATAATTTGGAAAGTAGAAACTCATTGAAAACAAGAATGCCATTGCTCTTGATTTTCCTTCTATAAGACTGCTCAATTCCCCATGGAAGAGGATGTCCAGCATGTAAGAAATACCTAGGTCATTAGAGCTTCCTGCACTTGAAGCAAGTTGCCTGCAGGAAGTAATATCCCCATGTCTGGGACTGTTTACTCAGAGAGCAGGGTTTGCAAGTTTCAGTGTCCCTGATGGCATTCTTGAGGTGGAGACAATAACACTAATAGGGTGAGAGTACAGTGGTGTGCAGTTAGTGTCTCAGATAGCTCAGTGAGTGTGCCAAGAAGGTGCAGATTAGGAGATTAACACCAAACCCCTGGAAGAAGTTAAAACAGGTCTGTTTGTCCTTTTTTTTCTTTTTTCTTTTTCTTTTTTGTATACGAAAATGGAGGAATATATGCAATCAGGAATAATATTCAGGTTTCAAAATTATTTTTACAATTATGGGTAAAACTCACTAAAATCCAATGTAATAATTAAATATTAGGTTCTGCACCATGATTCTAATAATTGATTCTAATATGGCCAAGGGGAAAGAGGCCCCACTTAACTAAAAGATTTGAAAAAAAAAAAAATCTGAGGCAAGTTAGTATTGGGATCCTTCAGGGTCCACAGTGTGCTGCAGCCATGAGATTAATGCTGCCCTTGAGTTTTGTGACATCCCCACCACAGAATGTGTCAGTGTCAATCTGCTATGTAGTTAGTTGCACCAGATAAGGAGGGCACTAGGGAAGGGAGGGTCAGGACACCATCATATAAAATCCAGTGTGTTTAGGAACTGAGAGTGCAAGCTTGGGCTATGGCCAGCTGTACTCAAATAATTACAGGACTGTCTAATGTGAAGATAAGAGAGAGATTATTTCCGTGTCATCTAGGGAGTTAGGGAAATCCCTGTGAGAATTCCAGGGGTGCAGATTTCAACTTTAATTCTAACAGGTCCTGCAAATAAAGCAGTATATTGATGATGTTCCTGCAGAGTGGGTAGAGAGGGCTGTCTTAGTAGGGTAGTTGGAGTCAGTGTCCTGTAATGGGGCCAGAGCCAGGCCAGCATTTGTCCCCACACCGCCTGTTTCTCATCTTTGCAGATGAGGGCAGCGACCCACGGCGGGATGCGGTGCCAGGCGCAGACTCAAGGGAGTACTGCATGTCCGACCGTGACATCGTGGAGGTCGTGCGCACCGAATACGTATACACTAGGCCCCCGCCTTGGTCCGACACCCTACCCACCATCCACGTCGTGACGCCCACCTACAGCCGCCCAGTTCAAAAGGCCGAGCTGACGCGCATGGCCAACACGCTGCTGCATGTTCCCAACCTGCACTGGCTAGTGGTGGAGGATGCACCTCGTCGTACGCCACTGACTGCGCGCCTGCTGCGCGACACCGGTCTCAATTACACTCACCTGCATGTGGAGACACCCCGCAACTACAAGTTGCGAGGAGATGCCCGTGACCCGCGCATCCCACGGGGCACCATGCAGCGCAACCTGGCCCTGCGCTGGCTGCGAGAGACTTTCCCGCGTAACTCCACCCAGCCTGGTGTGGTGTACTTTGCTGACGACGACAATACCTACAGTCTGGAGCTCTTTGAGGAGGTGCGGGAGGGATGAAGAGGAAGGAGAGTTGGCAGACAGAGATTGGAGATGCTGATGGATGCAGGGCCTCTAGCAAGAAGAAAGACGCTGGGGAGTTTTGGGTGTGGGTACATACATATAAGGAAACCCAGGAAAGGGGGTTGCCAAACTGGGGTGGGTGAAGACACAAGACGACCAGGGAAGGGCATAGAAAATACCATATGTTGGCAAAAGCATCCTCCACTGGTTAAAGGCAAGAGTGGTGGTGGCACTCCTAAATGGCCCTGGCCGTAGAGGAGCAGTTTGAGGTCTTTGAGTAGGGCCACTTTGTATGACAACCAGAAACCTTTTCAGTGGAACAGTTTGAGTTTCTTTGGAGTCCTGGGTCATGCAAGCCTAGGGGAGGAGGAGTCATCATTTCAGATAGATAAATGGCCACAATGAAATGTTTTGTGCAAGGGAGAAAACAGCAATTGGGTCACGTTGAGAAGGTGGTCAGCTGGATTGGGAGTTGGGTCCTCCTGCAGCCTAGAGGAGATTCCCTTTGCAGGAGCCCATCAGTTGCCATCTACAGGATGGCATATAGAGGTAGGGTGGGACTGTATCTCCCTTCCCCATGACTTTAAATGGACCCCACACATATAATTAATTGATTTCACCTCCCTTGGGGATGGGTGCCATTCGGTAGACTCAGGTGTTCTGACTCTGGCTTCCCCTTGTAGATGCGCAGCACCAGGAGGGTGTCCGTGTGGCCTGTGGCCTTTGTTGGTGGACTTCGTTATGAGGCCCCACGGGTGAACGGGGCAGGGAAGGTGGTTGGCTGGAAGACAGTGTTCGATCCCCATCGACCATTTGCCATAGACATGGCTGGATTTGCTGTCAACCTGAGGCTCATTCTACAGCGAAGCCAGGCTTACTTCAAGCTGCGTGGCGTGAAAGGAGGCTACCAGGAAAGTAGCCTCCTTCGAGAACTTGTTACCCTCAATGATTTGGAGCCCAAGGCATCCAACTGTACCAAGGTAGGAATCTCTACAGAATTAATGACTGTAATGCAAGTGTTCCTATGACCATTAAGAGCCTCTCTACAGATCAGGGGCAAGGAGACACCTCAAAATGATCTTGCCTATTTGAAACCCCCACCCAGGAAGATAGTTTATCTTCCACAATGAAAGTAGGCAGGGACATGAGAGGGGTGGCCATAGGGTCATAACTAAGAATTATTAGCCGTATATCTAAACAGATGTGCTCTTTGCCCCCCCCCCCCACACAAACATGCACACACCATGGCAGATACACACACACCTGTGTATGCACACACATATACATGTGCACACATACATACATACACACTTGTGAAATCTTGGGACTTGTCTATTTTCTGTTCTATATATCTCATTTCCAACAGATATTTTGAATACATCACATGAACAAACAGCAAGAATGAGGGGTTAGGTAGAAATAAAGAACAACTGAGAAAGTCTTGATGGAACAAGGGTGGCAAGGGAGGGGCAGGAGGACTACTTGCAGGAGGTGGAAGGCGGCAGGGAGGTGGCAGAGTGAGGTTGAAAACCTGCCCTACTTTGTTTTGTGTCTCTGGACACACAGATCCTGGTCTGGCACACACGAACAGAGAAACCGGTGTTGGTGAATGAGGGGAAGAAGGGCTTCACTGACCCCTCAGTGGAGATCTGAGCCTCAGGATGAAGGTAGGAGGGAGACCAGGGAGGGCATTGAACTGCACAGCACAACACCAGGTTTGGGTGCAGCATTAGTCTCTAAGGGGTTTGCTCTCAGTCTTTCATCATGGAAAGACAGGGCAGATGTGGACCAGAGAGGAAGAGGTGTGGCCAAGTCTCCTTCCTTTTTGCCACCTGATGCTTAACAGGTGTCAGCCTTCACCCACATAGCTGGGTCCTTCTGCCACCAGACACTCCAAAAAATGTCCACTGAGACAACTTGTTATGGTTATGCTGCTATTTAGACTATTTAAGGACTGCTATTTAGACATGCTCAGTGCATTCCGTCATCCAAAGGTTACATTTTCTTCTTTTGGTTCCCCCTCAGTTAACTGGGTGTGTCAAGATCCATGCATTGCTCCATGTCAAAGGCACCATGGTTCTGTAGTCAGAGTGTAGCACACAGTGAAAGCATATATCCCAGTGCTCACTTTAGCACCCAGGCCTACCCTTTTCTGTTTGACCTAACTTTGCTTCTCTGTCTCTTTCTTCATCTGTGAAATGAGTTGCCGGGAGTACTGAGAACAATCTGTGGCACATAATAAATACAATATAAGTGTCACCTATGTTGATCTGATTCTTTAAAATCCCTCTATTGAGGTAGTCTATATGATCTACCTACAACTTAGAGGTTCAGAAATGATTTCAGAAAAGCAAAGTAACTTATCCAAGGTGACATATTGGCACAAGTGAATTGTACTTGGCCATGCCAAGAATTTTTGAGGGACTTTTTTATGATCCTACTTTGCTTCTTGAAAACACCTCTTACTTGGGACTCCCTATTTAGGTCATGCCACACAGAGGTGAGAACTCAGGCAGTGGACAGACATCTATTCTCTGGCCCCAGAACATTTGTAGACACCCTGCCCAAAGGGTCTACAGGGTGTCACTCTGTCTGTTTTGTCCCTTGATCTTAAGTCACCTTGGCCAGTGTCATTTGGAACAAATCAGTATAGAGCTTGGTATAGGGTTCATTCCCTATCTTGTTAGTGGAAGACCCTCCTCAGGAAGACCTCCATTAGGGGCTCAACATTGAGCAGTTTACCACACTGGCTGTTCCCTGTCTGATCCCACCCTGAGCTGACACCTCTTTTGTTCCCCCTCTCCCTTCACAGGAGCCTCCTTCTTTGACACTGTTCTTGGCCTTCCATCCTCTCTCCACAGCTGATGGGCCCTCCAAGGCAGACTCCTAAGGAACTACCATCATCTCCTTTCTATTCTGGGGGCTTTCAAAGAGAGCCCAGCTTGATGACAGGACAAAGGACAAAATTTAAGCACAGAAATTCCAGACTTATTGTTCTCTCCATCCAATGTGACCAGGGAGCCTGAAAGACCTGAGGGCAAGGGGGTCTGGTTGCCTGCAAAGCCAGTGCTCAGCTCCCCTCTATATAAGCAAGTGCCATGGGCATCCACGCCTGCCCTATAGTGTTGCTGGGGCTGGGAGGGAGGTGAGAAGACCCTGCAGTCGAAGTGGAGCATGGCCCTCTCTTGCTCCCTCCTTGGCCAAGCACGACCACACAGGATGCTCAGCAGGGAATTCCGAAGATAGAGAGCAACTCCAGGCATTGTGAATGCCCTACTCCTTGGCATCCGCTCCTCCTGAGCACTGCTCCCAAATCAGACATACCTCTGGCTCTCCTCTGGTTCATGTTTACAGAGCATAATAAGGCTGTCTTCTATCTCAACAGGTGCCCGGCCCTGAGTGGGGGGAGCCTAAGCCTGTCAGTGGATTCCTCCTGTACCTCAGGCTGTGGTGGGAATGAACTCCCTTTCTCTTGCCCACTTTCTCCAAGCCTTCTTCTCCAACACTGGCAAAGGAGGTGGGCCTAGAGCCACACAGGTCACTGAATGACCTGGACCAAGAACAACATGACCCCCACTATCCATACACTACCTCCCCACCCTGCCCTGGGCTATAGCCCCTTGCCTGGCCCAGGGTGGGGAGGGAAGAAACCTTCTTCCTGTGGCTACTGAAAACTGCAGGCCTCATGGCTACAGTAAGCAATGATAGGTGAGGCAGACGGTTCCTCCAGCCTTGAGAGTAGAAGGGGCTAGGAGAGTCCCCAACTTCTTTCTGCTCCTATTTTGAGGGATGAGAAATTAGATTGGAGAGATTTAGGGAAAAGGGGCAGGGATCAGTTGGACACTAAGAGGAAAGGAGACTTGAGCACAAACTGCTCATTCTAATTTAAAATATAAAAGGGGAAATAAAATCTCACTTCTCCTGAAGCTGGGAGCATGCAGAGCCGGCCCACCTCATATCCAGCTGTCCCCTCTCCACTCCAGAGAGAGAACAGAGTTGCAAACTGCTGCCTCTACCCAGGGAGTAGTGGCTCCCTGGTTCTCCCAGGACCCTAGAGAGGTCCCTGGCTCTCTGACCAGGACAGCCCCTCTGGTGGTGATCACATGCTCCTGAAAGTTGGAAGCACAATTTTCCTCCCACGTGAAGGAAAAGTAAAGGGCCTGTGCCTACTGCAGAGGTGTTTATTTTTTAACTGCTAACAGCCCCTTCCCTTACTCCATTAAAATTTATAGGACAGGTCTGAGGGCCATGCAGAAACCACTCCTGGATGTGTACGTGGGATTCAGTCCAGACACCTAACATTCACAGTATAGCATTGGCTGCCTATTCTGAAATGAATATAACTTCCCACTGTATTCATGAAACCATCTGATTAAATCAGACCCCTGAATCACCGTGCAGGATGTTTTCCCCAACCTCTTATACTTTGGATATTGCTTTGGAAACTGACTCCTTGGCATCAAGTGTGATGGCATGGGACAGAGGAAGGAGGTGGGCATAGGGCATCTATAGATGAGTGAATTTATGTCTGGGCATTCTACTGCCTCATGAAAACTAGCCCTGAATACCAAGGTCAAATTGGCTGGTATGAGAACACCTTCTTAGCCAAAAACCTAGGGCTTATTTTCAGGAAATTAATAATGAACAACAAAATGAGGATTTTTATTTTATTTTATTTTATTTTTGGCAGATTGCTAGTTCAGTTGTTTTCACCTAATATCCTCTCTTAGCTGCATGTATATTTATTTATAATTATAACCCTGGTGGACTGCAGCCTTCATCTTTGTTGGGAATGAGTTTGTTATAAGTCAGAATTGGGTCCACAATAACGACTTGTTTTTCAACCCCAGTCTGTTCCCTGCTCCATTGCTGGTGAGCACCACCATAAAGAACCGAAGCCAGGGGTTAGGAGTTTCCAGGGCAGTGGCTGGGGTGAGGGGGAGCCCAGGCAGCTGCACCATCTGATCTCTTTTAATTTAACTGTATTTAATTTGTTTTCAAAATTAAAAGTCAAATATGGTTTTTAACAGTCCTAATTCTTTTCAGCCCTGCCTTATTTTTATTCTCATTTATTAACACAACTATACAACAATTATTTGTCAGGTGCCTACCATGAGCCAGCATTATTCTAGAAGCCAGAAAATGGCAGTAGGTGGGGGAAAAGGCCCCTGTCTTCATGGAGCTTACCCTCTACTGAGAGGAGGTGGATCATAGCAAAAAAAAAAAAAAAAAATAGTATTTCAGATGGGATCTGCTGAAAGAAGAAGAACAAAGCCAGTTGGGAGAGATGGAGAACAGTAAAAAGAGAGACTCAGATTCTTTAGAGGGCAGTCAGAAGGCCTCTGAAAAGGGACTTGTTTTCCCTATTTATTTCTGCTTTTATTAGTATATTTTATAGTTATAGTTAATAACTATAGTTATACATAATAACTCTTTTGACATGCATGGAATATATTTTGTTCCTGATAAGGCAATTTTGAGTAAAGCAGCAATACCCCAACATGTAATGTTCTAAGAAGAAAGAACTCTCCCCAGGTGGAAGAGTGCTTAGCTATGAACATGAGCACAAAATGTTCATAGCTAAGCACATCATGTGGCTGCAACAGATTGGGCAAGGAAAATGGATGGAGTAGGTGTGACAGGTATGTGAGGGGGGTGCCCAGAACATGTTAGCTCCAAGATCCAGGGCAAAGCTTTCAGTTTCTACTGAGTGAAACAAGAATGCATTGGAGGGTTTGGAGCAGAGAACCTACATGATCTAACCAAACTTCTTCAAGAACCCTTTTGCTTTTGTGCTGATGACAAATGGAAAGGGCAGGGGCTGGCCAGGGAGGTAGCTTCTGCAACAATTCAGGTATGAGATGATGGTGGGTTGGATAAGGGTTCAAGCTTTGGGGCAGAGAGAATTGACTAAATTCTGGATTTGTTTTAGGATGCAGAGCCAATAGTATTTGCTGAGGGACTGGATGTGGGACATAAATAGGAGCCAAAAATAATCTAAGCCATAGAATAGAATGGATATTTCTTGATATAGGAAAGAATGCAGGAAGGGCCACATGGGTTAAATCAGAATTCTGTTGCAGATGCTTATACATATACAGAAGATCGTGAGAGGACAGCTGCCTGTGTACCTGGAGTGTGGGTATGGATGGACATCAGGGGCTATTGGTGTCAAAGTTGTTCATGACATAAGTCTCACAGTTGAGACCCCATGCAGTGAGTATGGATGAAAGAAAGATGGAGCCCAATGAGTGAGCCCAGAGACCCCTGGAATTTAGGCTGGGGTAAGAGATGAGGTCTTTCAAAGAAAATGAGATGAGACCATAAAGAGATCTAGAAAAAACTTTTAGTGAATTTTGGAGAATAAGTTCTGCCAAGAGGTGCTTTGATAGGGAAACAGATAAAGTCAAGAATAAGAAGTTGCTACAGTAGGATCTCTTTTTAAGAAAGGGCTAATGCATAGGTGTGCATAAAAGTGTAATTTAGGGAACTGTTCACTTTCCAAAGGGATTTTCTGTAAGAGTTCTTTAAATTCTAATCTGCTGTCACAATTCCAAGTGTCCAGCTTTGCAGAAATCCACTCTTATGTAATACAAGACAAAGTGACACTGTGACATTGCCCCATGCCTCAGGCCATACTCAAGTAGCCCTCAGCTTGTCCACATCTTACTTCAAAGCTTGCTATTTCAAGGAATCACATAAAGAGCTGGTAAGCTTGGACAAAATTAGGGACTCTGCCCCTGTCTTCTCTCCAGTCACTGTCTGCAACCATCATGTTAATAAACTCCACTTCTCTCCTCTTAATGGGACATGCAGGCCATACTGACTGCCACTGATCTTGCTGGGCTCTTTGCTCCATGGTTGCATTATACCATCAGTGCCCCTCTCAATGCAAACCTTGTGCTCACCCACACACAGGATGCAACTGGTCACCCTGTAAGCCTTTTTGCCCTGTCATAACCCACTTTTACTGGACTCCTGTGTGGGTGCTGTGCTCAGAAGGTATGTGCTATTTGACTTTTAACTATTAGTGAAGATAATTAGTTTGGTGCAGTACATGCCAGATGTGGTTCACGAAGAAAAACTGCCCTGCCCCAACCCACCCTCCAGCTAATTCATTTGCAATACTCTTGGCCATCTGGAAAATTCTTATCCCTGCCCACCAGCATGAGAATGGATTTGTATTTGATCTCTCCTCTCGAGGGGCACTTCCAATCCAGCCACATTTCAAGCAGACGAAGTGGTGAGAAGACAGGGGTGTGGACCAACAAACAGTTGGTGTGGTCATAATCTGGATCACTGAGGGCTAGGAGGCTAACTATGTTCCTGATCCCAGACTGCCTTCTCCACTGGCTCAGAGTGGCAGAGATGAGACCAGAGACATTGGCAAAGAGAACCTGATTCAAATCTATTGCTTTATTGCAATCCAGGAGAGTGAACCTGAGTCAAACAACTGGACTCTAGAATCTCTAAAACAAGAACCTCCAATTTGGACATGGAGACAACTGTGGCGGAAGGTTGCCTCCCCCCCCTGCTGGTTAGTTACAGTGGAAGAGAGTTTACCAAGATGGAGGTAAGGCCTGGGTTAGGCCTGGAGGTTTTGTGACTACCCAAATTCCCAGGGAGTGGGGGTCACCTGCCCTATGACATTTAACTGGGCCTTCTGTCCTTTCCCTCCTTGGAAGTTCAGATATGGGCTGTGATTTCTGGTAGGATCTACATTTCCACCTCAACTGATGCTTCTCCCATTGAGTATAACTGGAAATGCTGTCTAATTCAGGAAAATAAGTGGATAAGTATTTCCATTTCTCTTAAACTCAGTTTGTCATCCTATCATATGCAGTGAGTGGGAATGAAAAGGAGAAAAACACAGGTTGTTTGTCTCAAACAGTTCCTTCCAGAATCCCAGAGGCAGCTCAAAGGGTCAAGAAAAATAAAAACGACTTAGGTGAAATGCCCCTTCTTCTTTCTCATCTACTAATAGCGACAAACCCATGATTTCAGGGACAGAAAGGGGCCATGCAGGATGTGGCCAAGCTCCACAGGGAATATTTGAAGAGCATACCCTATGTCCAGAAGACTAAGCAGCAGGGCTGTGATGACTAGTACAGGGGAGGATGCCCTCCCATCACCAGCACCTTTTCTGAGGGCTCAGGGTTTCATCACTTTGTGATCTAACTGAACATGCCCATCCCCTCAGAGACATCGCTCTGGCCTCTTCCAGAAGAGCAGGGAAAGGCTCCATCCACAGAACCAGGCCGAGAAGCCATCCAGGTCTAAGGGCCCCAGGGTCATTCCATCTTTCTTTTCAGTATTCCCAGGATTAGAGTTTCAGACTGAAGCAGGGAATAAACTAGTTCTGGGCTCCCTGAGGTTGCTACTAAAGAGACACTCCTGTAGGGGAGTGCAGGAGGCAGCAGCTCACCAGGCAGGAGGTGCCAGGGCTGCTGCTTAGTGAATGTACTGGTTTCTGCCCAGGTAAGGGGTGTCAGTAAACTGTATCACAGAGCCTGCCATCACCTCCTCAAAAATGATGATCTGTGGGGAAAAGAAGGGCTGAGTTATGAGGTCTGTCCTGGAGCCAGATAAGGAAGCCAGGAGGGATGGAAGGGATGGGTTTGGGAACCAGACTGGGAGGAACAGGAACAACAACCCTGGAAGGAATAGGCTAGCTGAAACTTCTGCCCTCTCCCAAAGGGCTCCCAGGGAGGCAATCTGATGCCAGGTGCAAGGATGGGAAGGAAGTTATGAGTAAAACAGAAGGAGGCTGGAAGTGTGCCCACCTGGTTGTTTCCTCTGAATAGCCAAGGACCTGGTAGGTAGAGGGTTTCCTGGGGTCCGATGTTCCAGTAACGTCCAAGGTTTTGGCCATTGACGAATATAACTCCCTTCTCCCAGCCCTTCAAACAGAGTAGAGAGTGTGTTAGTCTACTATGAGAGCCACTGATGACAAAGTCACACTAGAAGGCAGAGAAGACACATCAGATATGTTCTTCACATAGGGCGTAGTGGTGCAGGCTTGTAATCCCAGTGGCTTGGGAGGCTAAGGCAGGAGGATCGCGAGTTCAAAGCCAGCCTCAGCAAAAGTGAGGTGCTAAGCAACTCTGTGATACCCTGTCTCTAAAAGAAAATACAAAAATAGGGCTAGGGATGTGGCTCAGTGGTCGAGTGCCCCTGAGCTCAATCCCTGATACTCACCCACTGCCAAAAAAGATGTGTTCTTCACTCAGTTTCCAAAAGACCAAAGTGAGCCAATGTTCAACAGCCATGGAGACTAACAGGTGGCCTGTTCCACCTCATCTCCACTAGCTCTGAGACTTCTAGGCAGAGCACACAATCCCAGGCTGGATGTAGGAGCCTGGGCCCTGATAAGTGTCATCAGGTGGTTCTGCTTTGAGCTCCCTCTGCTGCCCTAGAAGGCAGGTGTTATATAGTACTCCATCAAGGCCAAGCACAATGGTATTTGAATCAGCCCTCTGAGAAAACAGAAGAAAGAATCGCAGAAAGGTAAAGGGGGCTTACAAACCTCCAGTTTCAGAAACGTGTCAGAAGGGGAAGAGCCAATTACAAAGCCACAGAAGAAGAAAGCAGGGAATGTAGGTACATCAGGGATACGAGTCCATTTGTCAATGCTGAACCTAAGGATAGAACAGGGCAGGAAAGGGAGAAAGGGGACTTTCTTAGATCTGTTCAGTTCTGTACCTAATTCCTAAAACATGTCCCTTCTTTGTTTAAAGCTCCCAAGTTCCCTACTTCTTAACCAAAACACAAGAAGGGCGGCAAGGTAGTATAATGAGCATTCTCCTAGTCTACAAATGCAGGTTCTAATGGTGGTACTGTCCCTCACCTTGGACAAGCCACCTTGGCCTCTGAGTCTTGGAATCTGCAGGATCCTGGTGGGGTGAGGATAGGGCTGTGCTCGCTCTTGCTGCAAATTATTATGAGCTCACACAACTGGTGTGGGGCAAGGACCTACCTCTGAAAGAAGCTCTTTTTCATGTCTAAGCTGTAGATTCTGAATTTTTTCAAGGGAGAATCATTCAGATAGAGATTTCCAATTATGCCTGTGGGAAGGAGGCAAAGAAACATGAGCAAGTCCAAAGGAAGAGGACCTAACTATGACCAGGGCCATGCATGGAAAGTTTCTAGAAAGATTTTTCCAGGAAGAGGGAGCTCAAAGCAAGGAAGATTTCTCCTGAAACATATACTGCCTAAGGAGCTCAGCACTTGTAGTATAACCCCCCCCCCTAGAGATGCCAAGGGACATAATAATGAACAAGAATATTATATGCCAGGCCCTAGAATTTACCATGGAAGAATAATACATCTGAGGACAGTGACAAAGCTGAGCTCTCACAAGGGTGAAAACAAACTCTGACCTCTCGCTGAAGGAAACTCTGCATGAACAAGACGTGCCAAAGGTTCGGGCCTAGCTTTAAGGTAGTGTCAAATAGGATCTCAGACTAACAAACCTAACAATTTAGTCAGAAATTTTCTACACAACCTTGAACTAAAGACAGGTTTTTCTTGAAATTGTGAGAAAAATGGCAATATCATTTGGGTATCCAACACTGAAGAACTGTATACACCCAAATAGTTACTGATCAGCACCTTGGGGTTTGGATCAGCTCTATAGGTTGTGCAGCAGCCCCCCAAGGACTCTGGATAGTGGAGCTGCTGAGCTCCTAGGCTAGGAATTTTGAGATCTAGAAAAGGTAAATAGGCTTCACAGGGACTGCAGATACTCTTAAATGGCCCACAAGGGGTGTGTGTGTATGTGTGTGTGTGTGTGTGTGTGTGTGTGTGTGTGTGTGTATGCACATTTCTGGAGGGGAAGTCTGTGACTTATAAATATTGTATATGGTCCAGAGGCTAGAACTCCACAATGAGGGTCAGGACACACTTGATGAGCGTCTTGGAGAAGCAAAGACTGGCAACAAGGGTCAGAGTGGAAGGTCCTTCCAACCCCTAGGAGAACAAAGGAAGTACGATGTGCCCAGAGATGAAATGCCAGAAAAGGCACCGAGAGGAATGCTGGGGAACTATTTCAGGAAAAGGAAGACAAAGTGGGCCTGGATAGTGCTAGAACCTATTCTGAGGCCGTTCCAGAGGAGAAGCCCCAATGTCTCATCACATCGTATCCTTGGCAGGCTACCAGAAGGCTCTCTGCTGAAAATCTGACCAAGGGAGAGATGCGCAAATTTCCTCCACTACAAATACAAACAGCTGTGACAGAATTGGAAGGTCATCAGTCCCCCTCAACACAGCAGGATTTATTTTATCTGAGTTCTTTTCTTTTTTTTTTATAACTTACTTAAAACACCAACATTTAGACAGACAGATAAAAGAAAGTAAGATCTAAATTAAGACATAAAAGATTAGAAGGCCAGAAAAAGAGAGTGAATTGGTGGGATATTCCTGGAAGAGCATGTGGACAAAAGGCATTTGGTTTATTCTATATCCTACTTCCTCCTCCTCACCACTGAAAAATGATTTATGGATTTCCCTGAGATGGATGAAGAAAAGAATTTCAGTGTGGAGACCTAAGAAGGCACTGGTCCTATACCCTCCTTTGGATTTCTAGAAATCTCTTTCCTTGATCCTTACCCATTACCCAAAAAAGCAGACTTCAGCCCAGAGAGGGACTAAGGTTAGCTCACTGTTCATGGGGTTTCTTCATGAGCACACAGAAAATACAAGCATGGAGTGTTATAGGGAAAAGGGTCAGCTAGGCTTTTCTGACCCACTTGCCTTGTCTCACATATAGGTCAACTCAGCTTCCACCTCCTGCAGTGTGCCTTCATGATCCACTTCCCTCCAATGGGCTTCTAAGACCCATTTCCCTGTACTGTGCCTCCCTGGCCCACCTCCCTGCAGTGTGCCTCCATGGCCCATCTCCCTGTAATGGACCTCTATGGCCTGTTGTTGTGCTGTATGGAAAGGGGGAAACCCTGTCTGAGAAGCAGTAGCACCTCTTCTCACTTGTGCTAGGACCTACCTTTGCGCTGATCATCAATATTATTCCCGTAGTTGACTCGCCCACGATTCTCCACCAAGATCCTCAGAAAGGTGTAACCCTGCCAGGAACATAGTGGCTGATGATCGCCTGATACCCAACTATGAGGTCACTGCTGCACCTGGGAGTTGGTTTGTGGACCCCAGTTCTTCCCTATGCTCTGAGGATGGGAGTAAGAGCCCCGCTGGTAAGAAAGCATGCTCGTTCCTCTCCATCCACAGCTTGTGGTTAGGAGGCTCCTGTCTTCCAGGCCTTCCTCTTTGACTCCCACCAAACTTCCTTGGAAGCAGCTGGGGCTAGCCATCACCCTGCTCCCTAGGATAACAAACCTGAATCAAGGGGATAATAATCTTCGTTGTTTTATAGTCCATGAATCCTATAGATACTGTGTCCAAAAATACCTGCCAAAGAGAAGATGGAAAGCATCCATGGTCAACAGGATGGAGGATGAAACAAATAGGTTATACCATGTGTGTACATGCTTAGGAGGGGGCTTAGCCAGGCATGGAGGAAGGAATGTACATGGTCACAGCTGGAAAGTGTCACCGAGATGACAGGGATGGGCAACTTTACACACTGGCAATAGCTGATTCTGAGGGCAGAGAGAATAAGATGTATAATACAGAGGCTGGTCACTAAAAGGTCCAGGAATCAAGAAGAGATGCTCCTACCTGTCCCCGATCACGTACAACACCACTAAGGGTGCCAGATGAGGTGATGATGGTCTCATACAGAATGTACCCAAAGGCCTGTCCATTCCCGTCATTTACTGGCAGGTTCTCCATGTTGATGGGCTTTTCAGACTTGATTGGCTGCAACAGAAGATAGCAGAAAAGCATAGGGGCCAGGCTTGCTGCCTTGCCCTGAATCACTGGCACATGAAGTAGCAAACAGGTCTGGCCTGGAAGGGAGCACACTGGAGGAGAAGCTGTAAGAGGAGCTCTAACCTCCTTTTTCTATTATGACTTATTGCATTAAACCTATGGCTCTCCAGAGTTATAGGGATGAGAAAACAAGGAAAGGGGAATGCCATGAGAGAAGAAAGCCTTGCAATCTAGTAGATATCTAACTCCTTAAGACACTGTCATTTTTGCATTACAACATCCCTTAGTGAGCTGCAGGAGGTGCCCCCTCTTCACAGAGGAGGATTCAGTGCATTCCTCTGTCTCTTCCCCCACTTCTGTCCCTAGAGAAATATAGCTCTAGCCCCAAGCTGGAGGAAGACTCCCATTGTTTTCGATTTCTCTTGTTCCTTCCCACTGCACACTCTAGCACCAGTTCGTTTTCTTCACTCAGTTCTAAAGTTGGAAAGGAGACCTCTAAGCCTTCTAGAATTGGCTTTGCTCTTCCCAGCACCTCCCAATCCATTTGGAGAGTTTCTGGGCCCTGCTCACCCTCCCAATGACTGTCCTTGCTTCCCTGGCCCACAGTACTCACCTCCCCTATGAAACTGAGGACATCCCACAGTGATAGGTAGAAAACCGGTATCAATGGCTCATAGGTCATCTTGGGAAGAGGTTTAGGAGGGGGAGGTAGAGGGGCATCTACAACAGACAGACAACACAGACATCCCTAAAGGACCCAAATGTCACTGCATCCAACAGTCTTTTATCCATGTGTCCCATATGCTCCTTTATCCTGGTACCAGTAGTAACAACAGACTAATTTCAGCATATGCTTAGATGGTTCTAGGAGACAATGCCTAGGGGAAGTGTGGGGCTTTCTCACGTCTTCCATATGAGATAAGGAGTCTTAATGCCTCTATAATAGAAAGGTGAAACTGGCAAGATGCACACTATATGAAAACAGCCTCTCAAATCCTCCTTGTCTAGAATGTTCCTGCATACAGGTCAACTAGGATTGAGATGAGGTTGTGAGAAGGTAACTCTTTAAAGGGCTGAGAACAAAAGCAATTTGCCAAGTGAGAGCTTCATTCCTCTTCTTGCTGGTATTAAACTGCTAGCTGGTACCTGAGAAGGAGCCGAAAAATTCTCGAAGCTTTGAATATTTGGCTGTATAATCTCCAGCTTCTGTCAGCACAGCATCATAGTCTGAAAGATATCCATGAACTGGTCATAGTCATTCCTATCCCTGGAATAATAAACACAGCAGCAAAGAAGAGAGAAGCTGGGGTAGGGTAGTAGGCTTCTTGGCCCAGCCATTTTGAAGGCAAATCACCAATAGTATGAACCACTCAGTCAAAATACTATAAATTCTACACCCTATAAAATAATATAAAAATTGCCCATAATCACAGCATGAACCTAAATTTCTAATTGCAGGTAGATAAAATGAGGCATCTTTCCTAACCTTTGGGGACTCTCAATCTGAAGGGGGGGACACTTCAGCCACACATTCTCAAAAGCCTGAGCAGTGAGGAGAAGCTGCCCATCACCACAGACCCTTCCCTTCCCTTTCTCTAGTACACTTCCTCCAAAGAGCTCTCTCACAGAGTAACTGGCTCACAAGCACCAAGCATCTTGAGTCTAGTGCTGCTCTGGAACTTTAAAAGTGACAATTCGAACTAGGCCTCTACCTTCCCCAAGCACTTTATAATCAAAATCATTAAAGGTGCCAGATATTGTCCCTAAAGGACTCTCCAAAAAGCCCCAGCCCCGAAGATGCTGGGAAGAACCAGTATTAGAAAATACTTGCCATAGCTGGTGACATCAGACTTATATTCATGAAAATGCATGGCTCCATTTATAAAGCCAAAATTGGTGCCTCCATGGAACATGTAGAGGTTGATGGATGAGCCAGCATCAATGATGGCGGTCACTGTTTCCAGAACTTCTACAAAAGGAGGAAGAAGGAGGGATGTGTGAGAGTCTAAGACAAGTCCTAAATACTCCCTTTGATACTCTTATTCCTAAGCCTCCTCAAGGTCCACTTCATCTCTCTGCCCTTCAGTTTTAATGCTCCAACTACAGAAGATTAGGAAACAAGGAAGAGAAGTGGGCCTGAATTCATGGCCTGGAGCTTGGGCCTCTAGTTGCATTTAAATTCTAGTTGAGTCTATTAACCACCATAAGAACAACCTACAACACAGGCCTGCATCCTCTGCCAGCCAGTGTGTGTCCCAGAAGTTATTCCTTTGGTAAAAATGCAAAAAGATAGTGCGTATCATTAGAGATACCATTCTGACTGCCTCCCACAGTCCTACCTTAATTAAGAAATGAACCAGTGACATAAAGAGATAATATTGAAGAAAAAAATAAATGGTTAGTATGTATATTATTAATATAAATCAAAGAAATGCAAACTAAACAATAACCTGTCAGATTGGTAAATATTAAAAATTATTTTAATACTGGATATTGATGAATCTGTAGGATATAAGTACTATCAGTTAATAATGGTGAGTAAAAACTGCTACTGTCTTTCTGGAGGTCAGTTTGACAAATACACATTAAAATTGCATTAGTATAATAATTCTATTGATTATCCATAGAAAAATAATATACCAAGTATGCAAAACTGAACATTCAAGAATGATCAGTGATATGGTGTTCAATTAACCAAAGCCACTGAAAACAACCTAAGCATGTATCTATAAGAGACTAGGTCAATAAATGGTTGTACAGTTATTAATCCAAAGGGATTCTTTGCATTCTTTAAGCTGGTGATATAAATCTATGTACAATATTATAGAAAGCTGTCAATTTGTGTCATTGACTGGCATAAGTAGGTGACAGGGTCATCAGGATCTGACTACACTGTCTAAACCTCAATCAACTAAAAAACAACTGCAATGTTTTCTCTGGGCCCTGAGATTTTTACTTCTTTATACTTTTCTATAGTTTCTGTGTTTGAAATAGGTATGCGTTATTTTTCTAATTACAAAAACATAAAACATACAAAAGCAATGTGGAAAGTCCTACTGTTTATTTCAAGTGTCAAGACAAATGACTCTGAAATACCAATAGCTGACTATTAACACAAATGATCCTAGAAGTCTTGCACACTACAGCTCCATATATCAACTAGCAGATTATTTAAAACTCATTCTTCCTTTTTAGGTTAACAAACATGCTGGACATAGCCAATGCCAAGTACTCACCAGAGGAATCCAGGATATTGTGTGGGCCTCCCCATGAGTCAAACCACCCTGTCCAGTACTCCATCACCATCTTAGGCTGAATCCCCTGGGTACCACAAAATGAGAGTTAGACAGGCAAGCTGGACAAAAGGAAAAGAGAAACATCATTCCTGGAGGGGAGCCCAGGACCTATCTTCTCCCACCTCTTCCCTGGCTTCACACCCCTTGCCTGAGAAGCCAGTGGGAGCAGAGCACAGACAAGGATGGTTCACCCGCCATGTTTGGCCTCCACACTTCAAGGTGTACAGTGGAATAGACAACCAAAGTTGACACGGTACATTCTGATGCTTAATATGATTTTAATGATGCTTACAGTGGATGCTAATGTATTAAAATTAAGTCTCACTAGCATTCAGCATCTGTTTTGAAAGACTTTTCCTAGCTTCAGTTGCTTTCTGGATCATGCCAACCTTTGCCTTATCCCCTTCCAGGAAAGGAGAATGTTGTATCCATTCTGACTTCATACCTGAGAGGTACCATAGATCCAGACCCCTCTGAGTTGCTGCTTCTTTTTAGCCAGGAGATTCAGGCAGCTGCAGCGTGGGCACTTTTTAAAGGCTTAGCTTAGTTTAAACAGTAGTTGGCAAAACTAGATCAGAAAATCAGAGCCTTACAGCATAGCTAGTCATAGTTCAAGTCACAGTGTATATTCATACTTTGGGTGGGACATTCAGCAAGTCTTAAATATTATTTTAGAATACTGATTTGGATGCATGACTGCCTCAAGCATGCAGAGATCGTATGCAGGACCAGGGGAAATATAAGGACTGATTTGCTAGAATTTTAGGCTCTGTACTCAGGAGTCCTCATTATTCCTTCAGTGACAATTGATTAAATATCCCCTCTGTCAGTTAGAGCAATGAAATCTGATGCAGAGTGATAAAGCAAATTTATAATCCACTGTATACAACATAACAGCCATTCCCAGATAAAAGCCAAAGTAGTAACAATATTTATTTATTCATTTTTAAAAGCAAGATTGGTGACTTGGCATGGATGGCACAAGTCATCTACCTCCCCCCAAAAGAAGATATACTGGGGGCTGGAGTTGTGGCTCAGTGGTGGAGCGTTTGCCTGGCATGTGTGAGGCCCTAGGTACAATCCTAAGCATCGCATATAAATTAAAGATCCATTGACAACTAAAAAATATTTTAAAAGAGAGAGAGAGAGACAGAGAGAGAGAGAGAACATATACTGTACTATATTTAAGTCACCCAAAAGGAATAAGCAGATACTAAGTCCCACATCTCAGGACTCTCCAGTGCCAAGTGTAGACTCCTTGATTCACAAGTGCCAGGAGCAAGGAAGGAGGGTTCCAGCATGACCCAGGTCATTGCACTGTAAATGTGAAGACCTGGAGATCTTCATCAGACCTATAACTCCTAATCAATCACTTAATGGGTATTTTATCCATTCCAGGTCTATCTCTTAACCATGAAACAGTAATAACAGTAACTAGTGCCTATGACTAATGGGAGAGCTGAAAGAGACAGGACACATAAATCTTTTAGTACATAGTGCCTGGCATACGGGAAGTGTTAAAGAAACATTTTAAATACCTTCATCATTGGGCATGAACATAAGGATGAGTGAAGTGCTACTGTATGCCCCAGTTAGCCAGAGCTGGGGATTATAGTGTTCATTTAAGTGAGCCCTTGACTTAAACAAGAAAATACCCAAGGCTACTTCCTTAAGGAAAGCAAACATTCTTAAACTGTACAGAAGAAAGTCCATTAGCAGTGCCATTCTGTTGACAGGGCAACTTGGCATGGATGGCACAGGCATGGCTACCTTTCCAGGATGACCAGCAGAAGGTGCATACTTCTATCAGCTGCCATGAGGTACTTTTCAAAAAAAAAATCTCACTGAATCCACAAACAATTCTATGAGTTGAGACTCTCATTATCCCTACTTAACCAAAGAAGAAAGAGAAACACAGAAGTTAAGTGACTTGCCCATGGTCACATATTAGAGCGGCCAAATGGGTGCGGGGGTAGTTCACAGTATAATGCACTCAAGAACACTTCTATTTGGTCATCGTGAGATTGCATGTTCCATATGTCTCTCTCCTCCCAAGTACAAACTCCATGAGAACAGACCCTGTTGTCTGTCGTAGAATGTAATAGATTCTAACAACATTCCATGCACAGAGCTGGCACTCAGGAAATACTAGAGGAGAAAGGAATTCAACCTCAATCCATCTGTATCCATTGTCTCTTCCAACAGAAGTCCACCTTGGGTTAGGCCCTATCCATCTCCTCCAAGGAACCTTTCCACCCATTCTGGCTATTATCTATGCTCCAGGAGTAGCCATACCACACACACATACATATGGCCCTCATCCTACAGGGCCTTACTCTGCCAGCACCATGCTTGAACAGCTGGAACTGAAAAAACTTTGCATCTCCCCAGTGTTGATACAAACATTCTAATAGCTCCACTATTATCTGGGGATCAATGTGAATATGCAACAGATGGGAGTATTCACAACTTCTAATAAGTCAGAGTGAAAGAAGCAGCTTCTCAATTCTGGGGACAGGCTGCAGTTTGGACCAGATCACATCAATCTCCTTAGGGGAGATACAAACCCAAGAGATCAATTGTAGCAGATTGAGTTGTACGTGACCATCAATCTGATGATGCTCAGATACAGATAGGAACTCTTCTCTCTCCTCCTCACCTGGAATGGATCAGGCTTCTTGCCTTGCAAATGACAATAATCTTTCTAGGTTAAGGTCAGATACCTCATATGGTACAGCACAGGGAAGAGTTTCTCTTCCCGCTTAATCTGGAGCAGTCTGAGGCTCGCAGAGTCTACAAATTCAAGGACTACACAAAGGTCTCTTTCTCAAAAGGTAGCAGATCTCACTCATGCTTTATCCACCTGCACAGCAATCCTTTGGAGTAGTTTATGAGCTGCTTCCCCTGAGGTGTGCAGCAACAGAACCATGAGCTGAAAGACTGAGAAAGCCCAGATCCTTCTCCCCCACTGGGGGGGAGGACCCTGAGCAAAGTGGCAGGCACAGAATCTCTGAACTTGCTGAACAATCTGTACAGCTTTCCCTGTGCCAGCCTTACCTGGACACTCACAAGAAAGGTGTTCATTAACTGCAGCTCCTGTCGTGTCTGTAAGTTGATGGTGGCCAATACTATGAAGACAAAAGAGGAGAGAGAAAACATTCTTAAAGTCAGGAAGACTTTCTGAATTACCGCAGACCCTTCTTCATCTACCAGCACAATAAATTAACTAATCTTGACATTGTTGCCCACCTCCAATTAGAAGTTAGCTCCTCTGATGGCAGGAGACCTAGCTCTTTTATCTTGAAAGTTCCTCCACTCAGCACAAGCTGGCAAAGTTAAGTTGCCAAGGCTGGCCTCAAACTAGCGATCCTCCTGCCTCAGCCTATGGAGTCACTGGAATTACATACAGATGTGCACCACTGTGCCTCGAAACAATAAAAATGTAAAAAGGGCTTGGAGGTATAGCTTGGTGGTAGAGAACCCCTAGTTCAATCCCCATCAATCTCCAGGACTTAAAAAAAATGCAGAAATATTAGTAGATAAAAAGTGCCAAGAAAATCTTGGAAAACTGAAAAAGGACAGAGGAACAATAAATGGCCCAAGACAGTGAAAGGAGTTTCCACCACCTCCTCAGGCCTCTCCCCACTGAGCCCCAAGCTTTGTGCTCCATGCAGGGGGAGAATACCCGTCTGCAACATTGCAACATCATGTCCGGGTCCTTGAGTTTCTTCAGCACCCATGCCCATTGGCTCAGTGGGGTTAGTGTACTCTTAGAAAATTGTTCTCAAGGAGTATGGAGTGAGAGGTGGGAGAGAAGACCAAAGACTGCTCTGTAGAAATACCAAGAGTACAAAAAAAGGGCCATAAACAGGCCATTTTGACCAGACCACTATAGCCCCATAATGGACTACAGGGAAGGATGCCTTTCTGAAGTCTTACCCCACCCTCTGAGCTCCAAGAGGCTGTTTAGTGCCCCCCCCCCCTTTTTTTCTTTTTTACTGCTCTATACGAGCCAGACAATTGAAAATATCCCCTCACCTGGAAGACTGGGCAGAGCAGAAAAAAGGAAAACCAGGTAAGCAGAACCAATGAAAGGAACAAATAAAATGTTAAAAATAAAAAAGATGAAAATATTCTCAGAAAGAGTTAAGAAAGACAGTACACATTTTTAAAGTATGCTAAGAGAAAAGAAATATATTTAAGCAAAATATGATCTAGGAAGTAATAGAAGGATTAGAAAAAAAAAGTTGAGGAAATACTTATAAGCAGAAAGAAGTAGAACTAAATAAAGAGACGAGAAATGGAAAAACCAAAGACACAGAGAATCAAAATGAGAGTTCATATACAAATAACAGGAATGAACAAAAGATCAGGAAAAAAGATGATAAAGCATTATGAAAGAAACCCAAGGCCCAAATGAATGTCCCAGCCTCGATGGACATAACTATGCTAATTCAAATACACCTCCAAAATGCCACAAAAATAAGAAGTATCACAACAAAGAGCATCATTATGAAACACCAGAATACCAAGAATAAAAAGAAAATTCTAAAATGTTTTACAAATGGGGGTGAGAGAGAAAATAGGATATATTAAAAGATTATTAGCCAGAATGTCTCTGGGCTTCAGTGCAGCAGTGGTTGCTAGAAAATGATAGAACAATGTCCAGAACTCCAGTAAGCAGGATCCAATTAAAGAGATACACACAGGTCAGTCTCAGGATGAAAACTGTATGGTAGGTCACCAGCAGATCAGAAATACAAGAACCAGGCCTTCAGATAGCCAGATAGGACCTTATGTGGGATCTGATATGCACAGGCATTTGAAAAATACCAATGATGGGTGTCTAGAAGATTTTAGAAAAGACTGTGTTAAAAAAATAAAAAGGGTGCAAGGGTTGGAGATGGCAGAAGGAATAAAAGAGAAAAACTGAAATGAAAAGACAAATAAATAGGAAACTACTGTCTTGCAAGTGAAAACTAAGCACATTGAAAAGCCAGTTGAAGTACGAAAATCTTAAATCAATTAATGTAGAGTTCTATATACACGTTATTTAGACACAGTAAGAAAAGTACAGGAAGAAAAAACTTAAGAATTTAAAATGGTCATTCTAGGGAACAGGATGGGAAGGCAGGCAATGCTGTATTTTTAGATAAATATTTTCTATTGTTTTTACTTTTAGCCTGTGTGAATGAATTGCTTTAATTCATTTTTTAAACTAAAAAGCATCTTTCCCAGTAGCAGGAGTCACTAGGGGATTGACGGGTGGGGCCTACAGAGGAGGGGAGGAAATGGAAAGATCAGTGACTCCCTATCATCTTGGGCCTTTAATTAGTAGACTAACCAGCACTAAAAATGTACGCCAGCATCAGAGGAACCAGAGCTCCTCCCAAGGATGGTGATTAGGTCACAAAAAGCTCTGGACATCCTTGTAGCAGCCATTAGGAGACAGCATCACCTCGTGGAAACAATGGGAATCGCTGCTGGCCCTGGTCACACCCCCAAGGCTCAGGATCCTGTTAACTCACTATCCTCTCCATGCACCCAAGCAGTAATTCCCTGAGCTCACGACCTTCCTGGTTCTGTTGGGTGATATTAAAGATAAAATTCCCTACCTACAGATCAGCCTATAGAAGGAAATGCAAAAGAAACAAAGTGGAGTACAAGTATATATAGCAAAGGCAAGCACAGTTGTAGGAGCCTAGAAAAAGAGTCCCACTACGTATGAAAGGAGAGATACACCATATCTAGGCAGGAAAGCATAGTTGGAATAAGACACAAAAAAACCAACCTCTACAGAGCTTAGTGCTGTGGTGAAACAGAGATTTCCCCTAATGTTAGAAGACAAAATAGAGCAAGGGAGAGGAATGGGTGATCCTTGGGAGGAGGTGCAATTTCTACCAGGTACTAAGGTACTTGCTGCATAGGTGACCCTGGAGAATAGCCATGCAAGTCTCTGAAAGATATATGAAGTCTTTGAGATTGGGCATGTCCAGTGTGTTTGAGGAAGAGCAATAAGGCCAAGAGTTTAGAACAGAGTGGGTGAGGGGAGCTCAGCAGAGGATGAGGCCAGCCAGTCCTGCAGGCTGTGTTGGAAAGTCCTACAAGGTCAGCCTCAAAACTTGGGCTTTCCTCTGGAGCACGTAGAGCATAAGCAGAACAGTAAGGTAACCTGGGATATATTTATAAGGCATACTACTATGTTGAGGAAATGTTGAAAATGTTGGCTGCTACGTTGAAAAAATGTTGCTGGAGAAGTCAGGGGGAAAAAGGGAGGTCAGTCAAAATGCTACTGCAGTAATGCACATAAGAAATGATGGTGACAGCTGAGAGAGTAAAACATGTTTGGATTCTTTAGGTATTTTGAAGATAAAGCTAAAAATAAAAAGAATATGCCCATGGCTTATGTATCAGGCATACAGGAGAGAAGCTAAGAATGAGGACAAGGTTTGGGGCATGTGCAATAGAGGGAAAATGGAGCTGCAATTTTCTAATTAAAGGAAGCCTTTGTGTGGGGCAGCATCTACCAAAAGCTTTTATTGACCAGAGAGTACAGCAGGAATGGTAGACCAGACAAAGAGCTGGTCATAGTATATCTATCTCTGACATGGGCCCTGCCACCCACTGTAACTCAGAACTCCCAGTCTGGTGCCATGCACACAGGACAGGAACAAATCAGAAAGACTCCTGCTTGTGCCTCAGTCCTGCCTGGAAGAATATGAATAGTAGGGCCCCTCACACAGGCTCCTTGCAAGTACCTCCATGGACCATTCCCTTCTTTAGGCCATCCTTGTTGTCTGAAGTCAAGAGCAGTTCTATGATACCACGGTCCTCTAAGGCCTGTTGGGAATAAAGGAAAAGTCAAAGTCTATCCCCATTCTCCAAAGCTTCTGCAGTGTAATACTGCTGAGAATGAGGTAGCCTGAAGAGCAAGAGGAAAAAATTAAAAGGAAGCATATATCTACAGAAAACAGAGGAAAGCCCATTTTGTCTGCACCTGTCTGATTCAGCAAAGCTCCAATAAACTTGATTTCTAGTTGTAGCAGAGGACAGGGCTGTTGATCTTTGGCAGCCCATGGATGTTTCTGAAGGTCTGGTCAGTTTGTTGTTCTCAGATGGACCTCTCAGTGGCCAGCTATGGCTCAGGAGTCTGCTGGGCTCCAGCAAGTAGCTCAGACCTCCAGGACAGCACCACATCTTTCACTTCACCCACACCATGAACAAGCTCACTGTCTTTCCCCCACATTGAGCCAGTGTGAGTGTGATCAAAAGCAAGAGCATGATGCCCAGCAGTGCCTCAGTGATGTGACTGTGGTGCACTACCCAGACTGAGCAGAGCAGAAAGCACTCCTGGAGTTTGTAAATCAGAGAATGAATAAGTAAAAGGAAGAAGCTATAGTTGAGGGGCAATAAGGATTGTTACTACTCAGATAATAGCTAACATTTATACAGCATTTACTATCATACCAGGCCGTCTGTTAAGCACTTTGTAGACTGTCCCACTGCATCTTCAGAATTAATATCTTAACAGTAGAGACTAAGAGCTTCAGTAAGGCTGAATAAAGTATGATGAGAGAGTATGTGCTAAACCCAGAATCTGCCCACTTTCAAAGGTTCTCTTCTGGGACTCTGGGTTCATTGGGAACAGAAACTACTGCAAAGGTGATCTTCCTATCATTTTCACTGCAGATATTATGAAAATAAGACTGCATATTTCAACTGAAGTTTTTTGGAAATAGGGGAGGCAGAGAGATTATCTAGTCAGTGAATAAAGTGGATCTGACCTCCAAGAACAAATCCCATAGGCTGATAAGAAAAGAGCAGAATGGGGTTATAGTTCCCAGGGATGACAGACACTGAAGAGTTCAATCCATGAAGCAAGATAAGATCTTTATCAGCAACCCTGGATCAACCCCCTTGAACTATCCACCCAGTCATTCACTATATATAACAAACATTTACTTAAAGACCTATAATATGCACATGCTTAAATTTTCATGGTCATTAATTCATTGACTCTACCAGGTAAAAGATGATTATCAATTTCCTGACACCAGTCACAGGCCACGCACAGTTAAGTGCTTTGTGTCTTATCTCATATTCTTAGAGAAACGACTCAGCCTTAGAAAAAGCCATTGTTGGGGCAGGCCCAAAAATGGCTGTAGTTAAGCTCCCTCACCGAGACTTCTGGCGGGCTACGTTATGTTTTAGTATGTAGCCAGGGCTGGCACCTGGCTACATTATGATTAGTCAAGGCCAGAAACACTGTGATTCAGCATATAGATTCAAGGTCATAAATATTAAGTATGAGCATGTGCCCTCCCTTTATATAATTTGTTGGCATTGTGCCTTCTTTGTTTGGCCTGCATATAAAAAGGTCCTTCAGAATTAATATCTTAATATATATTAATTAATATCTTAACTATATATAAGTATATATAACTTAACTATATATGACTAAGAAGGAAGGAGCTAAAATGGAACTGGCTGGGGGCTGAAGCTGAGGCTGGGGGCTGGCTAATGGCTGTGGCCACCACTGAATAAAGCATGTCTACTATCCTAACTATGTCTTGGATCTTCCACCTGCCAAAGCCCAAGTCTGTTTCCTGGGTGAGAGCCCCCGCACAACAGCCATTCATGTCTCCGTTTTGCATATGATGAAACTAAGACTCAGAAAGGAGAAAGGGGTCTTGCCCACAGTCAAGCGATGCTGGCAATGTCCACAACTCAGCAACTGCCTCCCACACTGCCCCCCAGGGAAAGTTGCATGGCAGTTCAGAAGGGGATTTTCCCAAGAGCTTTAGGATGACAAGAGGCTGGGTGCCACACACCAGTAAAGCATGACTGAACAGGAGAGGTCTCTGAGGAAGCTACATTCTCATCTCTTGCAGCTCATGAAACATTCCTTCTCTGCAGTATAAAAAAATACTGGAGAAGCCACAGGTTATAAGAGGTAGTCTGAGGGAACAAGGTATAGAATAGGAAGCTCTCAAGTCCTGTGTTTGCAGTAGGATTATTCTAGGTAATTCAAAGGTGAAAAGGAAGCTAGATGTGACTCTATTCAGGCTGTAGTTGGCCTTGACCATCAGGTCTGAACTTGCCCCTTTCCAGCTTAAGGAATGTCACCATTCCTGAACACAGGCTTAGACTCTACTAAGACAGCTTTCTGCACACAAGAAGTGAAAGTCTGTAAGAATCTACAAGCTGAAGTGCTTGAGCCTTGGTCCTCACTCTACAGAGGACCCAGATAAAAAATGAATCTGTGTGTGACAGCAGAAGAGATCCTGCACAGGCCATCAAAATCCAAAGCCATCCAGCTTCTAATTAGATGCATTCACAGAGGCCATTTAACATTTCAAGTCACACCACGGCTGACCCTTCAAAGTACTCTGAAACAAATGCCAAAGATTCCATCAAAGTCCTATTTACTGAAAAATTTACTATTTGTCTAGAATAGAGTTGATCTGTATGATCTCACATAATACAGTTAAGAGGCAGAGACTCTTTGTAATCCTATTGTTTAGAAGAAAAATAAGAGGTTTAGAAAACTGGAGGCATTTGTTCAAGGTCTCAGCTACAATTTGACAGAAACCAGATTTTAATATTAGCCTATTCTTTTATATGTTACCTTAGTCCTTTCCCTCCATGATTTGCTGTATATTAAATCAGTAGTTCTCAACCTCCCCCATACAATGGGATTGGATGTCTGAGAACTACCCCAGAGATTCTTATGTATATGACTGGGGCATTCAAATTTTTAAAAACTCTCAAGGGAAAGCCAACCTGTAGCTAAAGCTCAAAGCCATGGATTTAGGCACTGGAATGAAGGCAGACTCTTGAGGAAACCTTCCCTAATCACTGCCACACAATTAAATCAATTCCATATTCTTAGCTCCTGCAACACACATATGTACTGCAATCCCCAAATTAATCCCACTCAATAAAGGGAAAATAAGTGAAAACCCTGTTAAAATAAAACAATGGAGACAAATTCATTAATTGATAAATGAAGTTGGGAGACATGGTATTAATATGAGGAAAATATTAGATCCATACATCACAACTTTTAAGACATTCTAGAGGAAGGAATATGAAGAAATGAACCAAGCTGACTCTTACCTTCTTGATGTAAGGCATGTAAGCAGGATCTCTGTCATAGGAACCATATTCATTCTCTACTTGCACAGCAATGATGGGTCCTCCATGCTTATACTGGGGAAAAGAGATAAATAATCAGAAGCTGAGTTTGTAGTAAGAGCCATATTATCTAAATTCATCATACTTATCTCTAATTACTATCAACGTATCCAAAAACAAGTCTCAAAAGGTTTGGAATGTAATTGAGAATACTATAATCAAGATGGTGGAATAGGAAGCATCAGGCCTTTGTTCTCCATGGAAACACCAAATAACTACAAACTGACTAAATAAGTTTATAGGGGCTCTGGAAACCAGTCAAAATCAAAGCAAGAAAGTGACTACCCAATCAAGATAGTCACATGCAAGAGAATAGGAAATTTCATTATGTTTTTACTAAAATCTTGCTACATATCCCTACCCCCTCCTATCTCTCCTCAATGTAACATGGTGTGGTTGGGATAAAGTGTCCCAAATTTCCAGTTCCCTCCACCAGGATGGAGGGGGCAGAAGGGAACTTGTATGCAATTCTCTAGTTTGTCTGTGAGCTGCCCAGAGAACTTGTTTCTGTCTCATCTGACTTGAAACACCAACAGGAAACATCAAGTTTGGAAGCTTCAGGATTCAGTGAGAGATATTATAGCATGTGAAACTACAGAAGACTACAGACTTGTGGATGGCTGTGGGCAAGAAATTATGAGCAGAAGAATATGACAGAACACCCAAGAAACTCTGATGAGACTCTTTGGGAAATGAAGACATGTAAAAGCAAACAGTTAGGGTGTGAAGAAAGTATATAGACAGGTACAAACAGAAGATATTCTGAGAAAACATCTGTAATCTTGTGTCTTTACTCTGGCCTGATCTCTAGGTTCAGAAGCCCATTAATTGTGAAAGATCTTCCTAACTGGTCTGCATAAAAGACAGAGTGAAATAAGTTTTTTTTTCTTTTTTTTTCCCTCCAAATGCCCAATGATTCACAAAAAACACAAGGCTTATAAAAAGAATAACAGAGAAACATAGTTTGTTCAAAAGAACAAAATAAATCTCAGAATAGTCTCTAAAAACATACACACATACACATAACCAGACATATTAGACAAAGATGTTATAACTGTCAAAAATACATTTAAAGAGCAAAAGAAAAAATAAGATAAAAATTAAAGGAAATCAACAAAATGACATATGAACAAATAAGAATATAATTGAAGACATGGAAATTTTTAAAAAGAAACAAAACAGAAATTCTGGTGCTGAAAGAATTCAGTATATAAACAAAAAAAAATTCACTAGAGAAGTTCAACAGCAGATTCACACAGGAAATAGAAATAATAAGTGAGCTTGAAAACAGATCATTTGGAAGAAATAATGGCTGAAAATTTCTCAAATCTGGGAAGAGACATGAATATGTACATTCAGGAAGCTAAAAAATTCCAAACAGGATAACCCAGAAACCTACACAGAGACACTTTATATAACAAACAAAATTGTTGAAATATAAAGACAAAGATTCTTGAAATGCAGAAAGAGAAAAGTGACTTGTCACATAGAAGGGATCCTCAGTAATACTATCAGGTATATCTTAGCAGAAATCTTGAAGGCCAGAAAGTATCTGGAATGACATATTCAACATTGTAAGGAAAAAATGTCTCAACTAAAAATTTTGTATTTGAGATAACTTTTTCAAAAATTAGAGAGATATTAAGACATTTCCAGACAAAGGAAAGTTGAGGGAGATCATTACCCCTGAACTTTCTCTGTGATAAATGCAACAAATTGAAATAAAATACTAGACTGTAACTTGAAGTTATATAAAAATATAATGTTCTCCAGTAAAACTAAAAATGTGAAAAAAATGTAAAGCAATATTATTGTAATTTTAATGTACAATGACACTTTATTTTCTACAAGATTTAAAACATAAAAACCAGAATAAAGATTATTGAGTACAACATATAAAAAGATATAATTTGTTATATCAATTAAGTGGGGAAATAGAAATATAAAGAAGTAGTTTTTTATGTAATCAAAGTTAAGTTGTTATCATTTTAAGATCAGATATCATAAATTTAGGATATTATATATAATCCTTAAGAAATGAATAAAATAATTATAACCAGGAAAAAACCCCTTAGTTATGCCACTTCCATGCCCAAGAATGTCTCTGAACTATGTTCCCATAATGGCCTTGATAGTGCTCCCACCTCTCTTCCACCACCCAACCTATCAGCACCACCTGCTGAATCTCCTCAGTAACTCCATCTTCCCTACAAAAATCTAGGCTAATAACTTCCAAGCTTCTTGCTTCTTTCATGATTAGGTCTGCCAAATTTGGTAAATAAAAATATAAGATGCCCAGTTACATTTGCATTTTATAATGAAGACATTTTTATATTAACAACGAATAAGTTTTCTAAATGTAAAAACTTACATGCTATTTGGGAACTATTTCACTAAGAAAAAATTCCTTGCTTACCTGAAATTCATATTTAATTGACATCTGTTCTTTAGCTGGCTGTTCTCTTTGATTTATATATGCTATGAATATTCCAAAGAATTAACTCAAGAGCAATTTTTTATTGATACATTAATTTTGATGTACTAATTCCTCAATGCCATTCTTCATGGTTTGACTTAAGCAACTTTAATTATTCCCATTCTCCTTTTTTATTGCTTCTAATTATTACATAAAATATTACATAAAATATTAAATACTCCCTCCAAGACTCATTTTAACATATTTGTTTAAATAGTAAATGCATACCAAACAGTACCTTTTTGGTTAGCAGAGGGAAGTACCTTGAAAAGTACTTAAAATTTAATTTTAAAAAAATCATCTGTTTAGTACACAAGGCCTATCCATGTGTGCTCCACTCTGCAGAACTGAGCCACAGTGCTATTGGGACATTGACACATGGTGTTTTCAGTTATTAAGACATCCTACTTACCCATCATGAGTCATGACTCTGGAACTATACAGAGAAATGTGAGTCCTGACACTTGTCTGTCCATTTAATTTTGGCTGATACCACACTGAAATACACAGCTCTTTGAAATGATCACTATCACGAGTCCCTCTGATTCTAAAACTCAGGCAGTAAGGAAGAGTGTGTTCCTGTGTTGAAAAGAACTGTGGACCCCTTGGTCTGAGAACTTATCTAGGATTACCTACTACCTAGAAGAAAGATAAGTAAAATATCAAAGAGTCCGTTTGCTTTTACCTGGAGAGGCACCACCCTGGACATTAGGTGATCAAAGTAAAGGTCCACTGCCTCAGTGAAGCCCTTGTAAGTTGTTCTCAGTTTCATGCCAGAGTCCTGGAGTAGCCAGCTTAGAAAGAAAAGGGAGAGGACAGGATCATTAGAATCAGGATCTGGGGGTTTTCCTGGGGCAGGCTCACGGTGCTGAGAAGGTAGTAGCTCCAGAGAACTCAGGGATGACTCTGGAGACCAGGATGAGCTGAGAGTCATTCCTATCTCACTACCTCCACTCAACCAGGATGTTACGTGATGTACAGACAGATTCAAGGGCAAGCAACAGAGTCAGCCTGCACTCTCCACTGCTTCCCTACCCACTAGCACAACTCTGGGGGAAGGTCATTTCCAGCTTTCCAGCTATAGACCTCTACCTATCACTGCCACACAGTAAGAAAAGCTTTTCATGGGACCCAAGACCCAGGTTGCAAGCATTTCCATCACTTTTCCCCAACAAAATGGTGAAGCCAAAAGGGTTAGGAATCATCACTGGGGCTGGAGAAGGACACAGTCACAATCTTCCAGGGTCACCCAAAAAAAATGATCCAGCACAGCCCGTGAAAGGAGACTGCAGTCTGGCTGTGTCCCTGCTGACCACAGACTTCTTTGCATGAGCCACATCAGCCCTGCAGAGCTTGGCCAGTGGCAGCAGCAGTAGATTCGATTTCTTTCTCTACCCTGACTGCTGTGATGTCAATTTCCCCCAAAGAAACACAGCACTATGGCTTGGTTCTAAAACAGGAGTCCAAGTACTTCCTTCCCACTTGAAATTCTAAAAAAAAAATATTTTCTAACAAAAGACTCTGGGGCATCCCTTGTCCTGATTCCAAAGCCCTGAACAAAGTCAGAGAAGACATGAATGGTGTGAATATACTTTGTATACAACCAGAGATATGAAAAATTGTACTCTATATGTGTAATATGAACTGTAATGCATTCTGCTGTGATATATAACAAAGTAGAATAATTTTTTTTTTTTAAATGGAGGAGACCTAGTGCTTAACCTCCACATTCCCCGTCACATCAAAGGTATAGTTTATCACTTGCACTGTGGCTTCACCCTCCCCTGCTGTGCCTCAAGGGACACCCTAGTAAATGCAAAGGTGCCACATAGAGCCTGGCAGAAGGTCTAAGGTCCAGAGCTTCTTGCTGCTTCTAAGATTGTTAAATCCTATCTTCCTCTAGCTGAGCTCCAGGAAATCATTGACCCTGTAATCCATAGGGACTTGGGACTCTACTCTGGCTGTGTTCACAGCCTTGTTCCAAACACAATGCCCACGAGAGAGAGAGAGAGAAAGAAAATGAGCCTGGGTAATGGAGAGAAGGAGACACAGGCTGGGCCCCTGAGGGAAGGGCTGATCGAGCTGGAAACTTAGAGAGAAAACAAAGCAGGGCCTTGGAGCTTGTGCTGTGGGAAGAAAGTTCCCCGGGAGACTCTAGGAAAATGAGATCAGTCTTTTCTCTTGGGGAAGCATAGGGTGGGGGAGCCTGGGTCTAACCATCTGGTACAGTATGAGGCTAGGAAAGATTATACCTATTATAACAAAGAAAATCTTTTTTTTTTTTTAACTGGAAAATAATGGCAGTAATGACTAGGATAAGGAAATGAATGGGATCCCAGCTGATCCCTGTCCAGATTTGTAGTTCAACAAATTACATTTAGGAAGATCAGACATTAGAAAAGTTGAAGACAAAACAGAAACAAAAGCTTCTCTTATACTTTACCAAAATACTGAACTTTTAAAAAATGATTGGTAATACCCTTAAAAAATAGGGCAGGTTTGATTTTTCCATTTGTAGTGAGGGAAAGTTAAGCCAAGGGCAGACAAATGATCTGTCTGAGTTGGGCCCAGAAGAATAAAAAGCTCCAGAATGTCCAATCCTCTTGCTGCTATTTGCCACTTAACACAATCCAATGGAATTTTACAAGGCCAATAACTGCAACATCATTCAAAATTACCCCTTTTGGATGCTACTTATTCTGAAAAGGAAATTTAGCACAGAATAGAAACTATACCTTGATAACCAAACTAAATCAATATTCTTTGAATATTTTGTATTAGCACAGAGATCCCTTAAGCCACACTGGCCTCTCTCAGCCAGGCTTACCTGGGTAAGCCTCCAAGGTCAATCTCACTGCAGATGTAAGGGCCTGGACGCAGAATCACCCACAGCCCAATCTCTGCAGCCATCAAGACAAAGGCCCTGGGGAGATAAACAAAGTCAGGCCCTCTCATGAGAGTCCACAGGGAGGTGGCATGAAGAGGGAGCCTCACACCTGACAGTGTGTCAGAGTTACCTAGCTTCTTATTCCCTTTCTTCTCTTAACCAGGAAAACTGGGGGTGGAGGGGAGGGTCAGCCCAGCCCACCAGAAAAGGGAATCCTTCTGGTCAGAGGCCAGTGGCCCTGGGAGCTGCATTTGTACTGGCTCCCAAAATCAGGATCAGCTCAGCCCCACTGGCAGCATAAGGAATAAAGGCATCAGGGTGCAGAGCCTCTTACCCAGCAATACCCCTGAGAGCTCACAGAGTATCTCTGACCCCAGCCAGGTGGCTGGATCCCACTTAGAGTCAGGTAGCACCAAGGATCTTGGCCTCTCTATGCTGCAAAAGAGAGGCTGGGTCAAAGGCTGCAGCCCAGCACCCCCGGGTAACACATCATTGCTGAAGAACAACTGAGTTCTGGGTACAGAGCCACTCAGAGCATCCTGAGAACAAGGCTCCAGATCTTGGTTCCTGTCTGGTTCTCAAACCACAGCCCAGATACCACTAGGGTTCTTAGTCTAAACTAAACGGCCATGTATCTGTCACCCACTCTGGGCCTGGTCACAGAAGCAGCAGTACCACATACTCTAAGTCCAGATTCCCAGAGAAGTTGAATTTGCCTCTTTCTGGCTCATGGAGGTTCCATGGGACATAGCTGTAATAGAAAATATAATTATAGGCAAGACTTTGTCAATTATTCCACTTCACCTCCTAGATTAACTTTCTTGTCCCTAAAAGAAGATATGTTTCTTTTATGATGGCTGAAGATATGCTTCTTAATGGGTTCAGGACCAGAACCAAGAACTAACTGAACAGATCTGGGACAGAAGAGAATGCAAGGCAACCCCCAGGGGACTAACATCACATCTCCTTAGGAGAAGAAGAAGTTCAACAAGATTTAGGTAAAGCATGAGACACGCAGAGTAAAAAGTCAGGCTCAATGAGCACAGGTCAGCTTGCCATCCCTATCCCTTGTCAGTGAGAAAGAAGTAAGTATGTTGGAAAAAGAGATAAAAGTAGGGCAGAAAGAAACTTCAGTTATTAATCCTATTTTACTAAAGCATCCATATTTCCAAAACTTGCAATAGAATGGGGCTTCTAATGGGAAGATAATGGCACTCAGTAAGCTGTTAAAGGAGGCCAACTCAAGAGATGGGAGATAACACTCATGCACTATAATAGTTAAGAAAGTTGCTCTCCTCCTTGACCACCACATCATGGGCCTAACAGAACCTTCTCCAACTGCAAAGAATATTCACAGGTGAAGGGAGGCTTTATGGCTTCCAATTCATTCTCAAGAGTTTCATGTTTCAGCAAATGTAGATTGTTCTGCTTTGTTACCAAAGCAGAATGTTTATCCTGCAGTATTCCCATAATCTTCAGGAGTTCTGAGATGCTATCCACATTTCTTTCAAAAATGCAGTCACATCTCAGAACACTCCTATAACTCTTCAAAGCCAGTTCATAAACCAGCAAAGAAAATCCATCTTTTTGATTTATAATAATGTATTTTTTCTCAAAAATGGAACAATCCAGCCTGATAACCCACTTTATTTTATAGACATTCATCCAAGTATCTGTTGGAAATTGGGGGGAAAAATCCATGAAAAGATCAATATTATTCACAAATGAACCTATTTTTAAAACGATTTGCACACTCAACATCGTATTGCATACCCATCATGTGCCAAAATCACACTAGGTACTGAAATGGTAACCACAGCAATCAGGATCATGCCAAAAAAGGAATGTGGGACATTGCTTCTCAGATTGTTCCCTGAAGAAGACTCTGTTCATTTGCTGTACAAACTGAGGTTGGGCAGGTTGCTTGTTAAAAATTTATTTATTGGGTCATTATAAGAAGAGGAAGAGATACCCAGAGTATGGATCCACATAGGAAAGGACATGCAAGGACATAGGAAGAGGACAGCCCTCTATAAGCCAAGCAGAAGGCCACAGGATAGGCCAAACATGTTCACAACTTGATCTTGGACTTCTAGCATCCAAAATTGTGAGAAAACAAAATTCAGTTGTTCAACTGTCCCCTCTCCCTGCCCCACCCCCACCAGCTGCCCCACAACATACATAAGAAAAATAAAAACGAAAAAAAGAAAGACCCTCCTACATGTACACTTACCTACCTTTCTCACTCTATTCTTTTGTTCAACATTGTTACCTGGTCATTCTAGACTCTGTAGTCATTTCACAACTTTTTGTGCTTATTAATAGGGAGTTCTGTAGAGATTAGAAAGAAGGGAGACTCTTACCCCATAGACCTAAGCAGAAAGCTTAGGCTGGATCCTCCTCTTATATTTTTCCTCCTGCAGACACCAGTAACCCCTATTTGGTAACCAGGTTTGGTGGCAGGGGATGGGGCACAGCACTCACGTGGTGAGGGTATTCAAGCCACAGGCTCTCATCTTGAGCAAGCGATCCCTCCAGTATTCCCGGGGCACACGGAAATAGTGTATGGAGCCCCCAAAGATCCAGAAGATGGAATCCTCTAGCATAAAGTTTTGGCCTTTCATGTGCAACCCTAACTGCCGATGTCGGAGCCATGCAGGGATCAGAGTACTCCACTCCAACCTGGAAAGAGAAAATGCCCTGATGGAGCCTTGGAGCTCACTGGCAGCAGCGAGCAAGGGAGCAAAGAGGCAACTGGCTCCCTTGCCTTCTTCACAGGCCCTCAGCATCTCTGAAAAGGGCCTGCTCCCAGGCAATCAGGCCCAGCTCCCACCCTCCAACTTGGTCAAACCTTGGAAGGTGTCTTTCTTCAGCAACACTCACAGGGCTGGGCCCCACTGCAGGAGGAGAGCAAGGTGACGCTGCAGTCAGGAACAAGACAAACACAATGTTCAACATGAAGATGTGTATGTGCTAGAAGGAGAGAGGATGAAGCAGGGTCATGCTACATGGGAAGGAGCTGCTCTCTAGCATTAGGGTCTGGAGAGCAGCTATAGCTCACAGGCTCCTAATATGGCCAGGTGTTCTAGGCCACCTGACTAAACATTAAAGCAGCAGCTACTAGGAATAGTACTTCTGAGCCTTCTCACCTGACTTGAGTTACAGATACCTGGAAAGAGGCATCCATGTTAAACAGCATCTATTCATTGGTCATACTTCAGGTATTAAGTTATTTTTTGAAGATCAAGCACCAGTCAAGAGATAATCCAGCATAACTCAGACTGGAAGACTGTTTGACAGTTATAATCCATGAAAAAGTATCTCTGGGGTTGGTCAAAAGGACTTCTTTTAATTGTTCCCAATGACCCCAGAGTTCCTAGGATTCCCCCTCTCCTCCACCTAGGCTCCTAAAGACCAGGAGAGAAAGCTGGCCAGAACACCTGGGAAGCTGGAAATGTGTGGCCGTAAATTTTAGAAAAGTTGAAGACAGAAAAAAATGAAAAATAAGTTTGAGGCAAAAGCAAATTTTATCTGGTGCCTTTTCTCTTCTCAGTACAGTTCTTGACACCAGAGGGCATATTGCTGGGCATATTTTATGCTCCTCTGCATAAAATAGTTCCCTGAGTTTACAGGAGGAAGAGGCCCAAGTTTGAGGGGGCTGATGGCCACAGACAAGGGAACAGGATGCAAAGATGGTCATTACTGACCTTTTGTTTTCTGGGCCACTGCCTCTTCCTGCTTTGCAAGCCCACAGCTTTGAAACTTACACTGAAGCTACAGGACTACATACCAGCTATGTTCTCTGTCACCTAAGACCTAATCACCATTTTTTTTTTCTCTAAAGGGAAAAGTTCCTTGTTCCAACAAGTGACTTGCAAATGACATTTTAGGACTTACTTTTTCCAAAGGACCACCTAAATGGGGGAATAAGGACAGAATATTTGGAAGTGGATGATCTGGTCATGAATCCTTGAGTAGCACTGTCACCTTGGATTAATGACACTGTGGACATGAGTTTGATCCTCTAAAATATGGCTAATGCCCATTCCAACTTCTCAGAAAGGCTACTATGAGGATCAGGTAGAAATTAAATACCCTATAATGTGCAATTAAGAAATATTATCACTATACAAAAGAAATTTATGTTAGCATTTGCTTTCACAATTATATTGCAAAGACTAGCCTCAGTTGGTTTTATGTTGCTAATATGATATAATCCTTCCCCCTCCCATTTTAGTGTATAATATTTTATGTATTAGACTTTGTGCCAAGTTGTGTAATAATTTCTAAAATTTTATAATGGATCTGTATCCTAAAATTCTATCAGACCAATCCAACCCCTTTGACAAGGGTTAACCAATTCTAGCCAGAGGACAAATCCTACTTGCCACCTGTCTTTGTAAGGCTTGTAAGCTGAGAATAGTTTTACATTTTTAAGCAGCTGGAAAAAAATCATAATAATAATATTTTGGGACACATAAAAAATTACATGAAATTCACATTTCAGCATTCATAAATTGTTGCATTGGTAAACTGCCACATCTACCATCTACATATGGCTGCTCTGGGGAACAGATAAACAGTTTTTACAGAAATATGTCTATAAAGCTGCAAAGCTGAAAATATTTCATATCTGGCCCTTTTCAAAAAATCCTACTGACCTCTATCCTAGCAGATAAAGCACTACATTACTCAACAGAGGCCTCAGTGTTTCCCCAGGGCCCCATCTAGATCCTCCTTTACAACCCCTTGTTCTCAGCTGGCTATAAGCTCATGACCATACTGGCTATCTCAAGCCTCCCACACCCCAGACAATTTCCCTTGATTTTGACCATACCTACTCCAAAGAACACACTTTCCTTTCTGTTCAGCCCTCCCTGCTTGAAGTATTCATCAGGCCCCTTCCCCAGGCACCTGCTGGACCCACCCCAAGCTAATTGGAGCAAAAAATAGATGGACAGATTCTTCAAAACAGGGGCATTTTGATAGTCTGGTAAGGAAAATGGCCCTACACATTCAATTTCATTGTTTTCAAAGATAAAGATGACATAATTCAACAATCACTCCAGCAGGGAGCAAAATTTATTCCCTGGCCAGAACTTAGAAACCGCAATCTCCAATTCTTGACTTAGCACACATCACATCACTGATTCTAATGATTGTTTCCCCACCCTACTAAGTGCAGAGAAGTCAATAAGGATGGAAATGTGCTCTTTTTGAACTTCATGCTAATATAGTCCCTGCCACTACCAAATATCCCAAATCTATTCCTTTGTGGATGACCAATCAGCTGACTTCTCCATGTGTGGTTGTAGACAGCAGAAGTATCTTCATCTACAACTTGTTAGAAAAGCCCAAAACTGTGCTTAATTTAAACCTGCTGAATCAAAATCTGCATTTTAACCTAATCCTACAGTTAAAGCTTGAGAAGCAACCATATATATATATATATATATATATATATATATTTACATATATATATATTTATATATATATACACACACATATATACACACATATATATACACATATATATACACACACATATATACACACACACACACATATATATACACACACACATATATACATACATACACATATACATATAGTTTCTCTCTAGTTAGAGTTTCTCCTTGCTACTGTATTTATGTTCTGCCATGTTCTAGATTTTATTAAAAAAATATTTCTTCTCAGTCTTATTAAAAGGCAGGAAATAAACATCACATACAAAAAAATGTTAGCTGTTATCAAATTCCAAATTCCAGAGAATTCAACTATTTATTTTTTCTTTTCTGGAAATTTTCTGGTAGGTTAATAGCATGTCCTCAAAGCCTTGCTAAAAAAGATATATTCGGTGAGAAAATGAGAATGATAAATGTTGGGTTTCTCAAAGGAATTCACTATGAGAAAATGAAATGATGCAATTCACAGCTTCATGTATCAAATGAGAAAGCACCATGAAAATGGTTATTAACACTAATCATGATCATTAATACTAATGATTATCATATTAAGAATAGCCCCATAATTTCCTGAGCAATTAACTCAGTGATAATAAAATAAAGGAAATATCAACTGTGTGGTTATGTCTGGCTGGTTTAAAGGTCAGAGAGACTTTAAATTTAGGCTTATTACCCAGGAGCTAACCAAATCCTGAGGAAGCCCTGTTTCTATTGCTTTTCCTAGTGAGTTGTTCACTCATGATAAAAATGTCTTGGCTGAAACTGAAACAGAGAACATCCTTGTGCTGATATTGGAAACTAAACAACTATCATCTGGCTAGGCTGGCACCAATGAAGCTGAAACTGACATGTTCTCACAGCTTACCTAGATATAGGTGTATATATTACCTGGCTTTTGTTTCTATAAATTATAACCCCTCTGTAAGACCTACAGAGAAACAATCTAGCTGCTTCTCCCGAGTTCAATCAAATTGCATTACCTTCATGTTTCTTTTTACATCATTTGCTTATGTGAGTAGGCAGCTGAATTGGGTCAGCTGGGATCCAGGCAGGCTCCCTGGCTTGGCTGCCAGTAACAAAACCAAGGGCAACTTACATTCTTTGCAGCTAGAGCTTACAGTAACACTTTCTTCTGGAATTTCTATTGCTTTAGTATTTGGCTTCCCTTTAGAGAAGCCACTTTTCAGTCATCATAGGGAACCAGACATCACATAGTAGGCTTCAGCTGCCACCCTACAATCTGTCCTTGGATTTTCACTGCTCAGTAACGTTCTGTTTCTCCACCTAGAAAACGAGGTGGCCATGTTCATAGTTTAAGGCCAGGTGCCTGGAAGAAGGCATAATGTGTCAGGATTCTTGATGGGGCCATGAGATGTGAAGAACAGCACATAAAGTAGACTGAGCTCTACCACAACCTAGGGAACAGAATTCTCAACAGACTGTTCCTGATGAGAAAGTAGAGTAGAGGGTGAAGTCTTCTGATACTCCATTCTTAATCATTGAAGTGAGTCATGAGGACAAAAGGTACAGTATAGACTCTAGCAGGCAAGGTGTTCCTGGGCATGAGAAGTTCTGGGTGGATGTGTTTGAATGGAAGAAGGCAAAGAAACAGGTGACAGGTTTCCACATCTTTCACTCTGAATGGAACCATGAATGGATTCTCAAGTTTCAAAGCAGGTCTTACAGGGTGGCTGTAGGACATCAGATCCAGTCACCTCCTTGAAAAATCTCTTTGAATAAGGCATGCTAATGAGGACAATCTTGAATGTGCACTGCACATTCCCAAGTCACCAATAAATCCTGCAAAATCTGATCAGAACCCTGGCTAGTGATGGGATTGGGAGGCGTCACTTGGATCATGGTCATCTCCTTTAGGCATTTGTTCAGCATGCAGAGTCTGATCTCACATGAATGAGCCAGGATCCATACAATTGGACACAACAGAGACAGAGTCATGAGCAGCTGGAGTTGGACAGCCTAAGGCAGAGATCAGGTGACATTCATGCAGTATGAGGTTGGCCAAAGCCATGGCTAAGCTAGACACCTGCAGCAGGTGTCGGCAATTACAGTCCTTCAAGTCCCAAAACACAAGTCCTTGCTGATCCCAAGTACTTTATACAAATTATGCACTTGGTTATCTGAGATAACAGCTTATAAGTTCAATTTTCAGGTACACAGTGCTCCTATTTGGGCCTCCTGAAACAAATTCAACTGAATCTGAGTTCAGGCATCATATTAACATGCTAACCAAGAAAACACTCACTTTTTCATTCACTCAAACTGGAGACCATGATTTTAGATGGTATGTCCATTTGCCCCCAACAGCTGTCAATTCTGTTCTCTCTGCCCTTAGCAGTGAAATTTAAGGGTGTAAGAAAGGAAGTACTTAATCTTTGGCCCAGGCCATTCTCTTAACACCTATACTTCAAAATATTGCCTCTTGGATTAATCCTTGAGACGTGAAGAATGGTAGCCATAGGGAAATAGAATTCACTCCGTGTGCCTGGCCCAGCTTAGATGTGCCCCTTGATCTGAGCTCAATACTTTGGGTTCTTTTGCTAGAAGAATCAAATACTCCACAAGACTTGGATGATGCCAAGCCCAAAGCAAGTATATGCATTTTGCAGAGACACAAGGTCTAAGGCATGAATGCATCCCATTACCTCTGTTCTTCTTCCTGATGAGGTTCAGGAAGCCAGAACTGGCTGATACCCAGGCTCCT